GGGTGGAAGGCCCGCGAGGATTGTTGGAGAGGTCGGGGAGGGGTATGGTGTTGAGGGGGCTGAGGGGGGTATGGCTAGGGAGAGGTATCGGGTTGTTGGGAGGCCTTGAGAGGTTGGCCGGGCTTGTTGTCTTTGGTTTCGTTTCTGGTTTTGTGATACCCCCCAATGCTACTTTTAATGTTGTTTTTTGAGATATTGATTTGTATACCAATTGAGTATCTCCTGTAGCAGATGGTTCGGATTTGGTCTGTATTTACAGACTGCTAATGGTTGTAGGAGAATCAAAGACAAGTACAATTATCCCATATTCTCCACCTCGACTGCATGTTTGAGCCGCAGTTCATCGTCTTTGTTAGGGAGACCAAGCTTTTCAAATGCCATATCATCGATCCAACGTCCATTGGGCCGAACAGTTTCTCCACGCGACAACGTGGCAGAGAGATACATCCAGTTGAGAGCATTTCCCACAGTACTCACTTCATCACTTACATTATGAATGCCATACTCCGACATACGGAGGTACAGATCGTGATCTGTCCAGAGCTCAAATAAGCGCTGCGCCACAGCATCGGTATCTCCAACATCAACCAGGAACCCATTCTTCCCGTGCGTGACCTGCAACGGGATGCCACCAGCACGCGTGGCGATGACTGGTTTGCCTTTGTGGATTGCCTCGGAGACTTTTACCTCGAAGCCTTCGGATGTGGATAGTTGCAGTGCGACGGTTGCCTTGGAGAGAATGGCGTTCAGGACTTGGTCGCAGGCCCGCACGCGCATCGCGCAGATCAGATGGCGGATATGTGGGACTTTTGTATCCAGGTAGTCGATTATCTCGTCGTAGATGCGTCCTCCGTCAGGATCATCTACTGATCCATGTCCGCAAATTAGTAGTTTGGGAGGGACCATATTTGGCGCTTCGACTGCTAGTTTGTGGTGGAATTTCTCGTAAGAGACTAACACATCCAGGATACCCTTTGACGGGTCGAAGCGTGCGACCTGCACGATATATGAATCTGGTTTTGTGTTAGTTTTCACTGAGGAATCAGCTCATCATCGCTGGTGCCGGATCAGCTACAAACCTTCAGGCCATTGAATAGTTGGCATATCCGCATTGCGACAGGCTGCATTGAACATGCGGCCATAGTGCGCGATGTCCCAGTCCCGCATATTCTTGTTCAGTCCATCCAACCTATGTCCCAGTCAGTAAGATGAATGGTGAAAGCAAATTATCAGACTTCTCAGCCCTTACCAGTCAGTTACCGCAGGCATGTAGCCTACTATATCTTCGGGCACATTCTGCGGCACAAAGGCACTCACAGGATGACTGATATAACAATCGGCGTGTTTAATATTATCCCACAGGAATTCCCAGGCCTCCGCCTGTGGCGAGCCGGGTATCGCAACCAAGTCACTTCTGATTTGGATGTGGCTTCGAAAGATGATTGGTCGATTCGGAGCTAGTTTCCTTGCGATGGGAATGAGGCCTGGCATCTGGGGATCGTCGACGATCAAGACGTCTGCACCGCCCTCTGATGGTGGAAGTAAAGGCCCACCAGATCGGGTCCAGTATCTTCTGGCATTCTCCTCAATCCACTCCTGCAGGAGTGTCTTGTTCTCTAGTGTCAAGCGCTCGTCTGGATGCGCGACACCTTGGAGGATATTGTGATTTGTTTTGGTTACCCGGAAGACGCCCGGGCGTGGTTTTGGAACGTACCTGCAAGAATTGAGTTAGTTTTTATTCTTGCGATGACACAGATACATAGGTACAGGCATAGACACACCATTTGATGTCAGTGCCCAGATAATGTGAAAATCGCAAGAGAGCGTGCCGCATTAGAGCCACACCACCACCCTGAGGCGTGGAACTGAAAAATGCCACCTTGACATTGCGTTCTTTCAATTCAGCGGCGTAGCGTTGCACCGCGGTCCAAGTTCTATCCGAGACTGTTTTCTGGAAATCACTCAGGTCCGCAAGTCGCACATGGTAAGCTGTGTCCACTTCAACGAGCCCGAGGAAGCCCACTTGTAGAAGGGGTGTGTTTTCCGGTCCAAATAGTCTGTATGCACTCAGACTCAGTGACTCTTCTGTGGGATTGAATGGGACCAACTAACCTAACACCTTTTCGTGCCATGGATTCAGCCTGTTCATCGACGGTCTTTTCATTCCATCCATCAGCTCTCGGGTTTTGGGTCTTGCTAGCCTGTTCGACGCTGACTCTGTCTGTTAGGGTTGCGTTCGACATGACCAATGGAATGATGTCGAGCTCCGCCCAAAGGCGAGGACATAGTCGTGGGCAGTGCTTTGCAACATGTTCAGACATTGCTATTCCAACAATTTTCTCGAAATGTTCCATTGAATACGCCTTCAGTTCGGAAATGATGAAGTCAGTAGCCTCCTCTGTAGACGCTTGACCATTTGTGAATTTATTCTCGATGAAGTCTAGTAAATATGTCGTGTCACGGATTGCGATTGCTATGGTTGATGTATAGTGATCTTCAAAACTGCTGGATATACCGGCGTAGATAGTCTAGTAGTTGTGTTAGCATTGGTTAAGCAGTGGCTTTTACTGTTACTCCAAAGAGATTCATACATCTGACGGCGGCCCTAACCAAGCGTTTCGATCGTATTGTAGCGCCAGTCGACGCTGCTGCGTGACTGAGGCATGACGTTCGAACTTATGTCCTTCGCCGGGCATGACTCTTGAAAATTTCAGACAATTAAAATTATTCCAAGAAAGAAATCAAGAAAAGAGCTGTCCGCTATGTATGTTGACCACCTTCTGTGACTTCATTTGGCCATGACGTAACGACATTCCACAAGCTGAGGATAGGTCGCCAACCACAACCATGCTTCAAAACTCCTCGTGATATTTGCCTAATGCAGTAAGTTGACAATAAATTGACTACATTGGATGTGTAACAGAAGTGTAAGTGTCATTGAGTATCTTATAAAAATGTGACATGCTACACTAAGTATATAGTTACTATCGCAATATGTGCTATCGGAGTGATGGTTCCTCCGATGGCCGATCATCAGGAAAGGCCACAACCATGGGTCTCGCCATTTATAACATCGAATGTCCACGGGTGTTTTGATAGAAATATGAACTTCCATTGTCCATGGCATCAAGCAATGGATAAAGTAAGTTCAAGCATGATATACATGAAACCGAATACGAGGATGAAACTGCCTCCTTGTGTACCTCGTGGCAACGGGCTGTGATGAGTAAGCTTAGCCCAAGCCCCTTTTCTAGGTTCCCCCGCCTCAGGGAAATTAGATTGAAGATCACGCACCAACACACCTTCTTTTTTCTCTTTTTTCTATCCTTTCGTGGGCGGACCTCTCGTCTCAATCGAAGTCACTTTGTACGGAAACGTCCGGTGGCTTGCATTCTCTCTCACAAACCCGCAATTCACACGCGGGTCGCAATTGTTGATATTCCGCCAAACAGCTCCTGAGCACGTCCGACACCGCGTCAACTCCCGCAAAAATGGGTGGACAAGTATCTAAGATGATGGGCAAGATCTTTGGGACCAAGGAAATGCGTATCCTCATGTTGGGTTTGGATGCTGCTGGAAAGACGAGTATGTTTCATATGTTCCCTGGACCTTACTAGGGACCCGGTCAAGATTGGCTAACATTCTTTCTAGCAATTCTCTACAAACTTAAACTCAGCAACCAGGACGTGACTACCATTCCTACCGTCGGATTCAACGTCGAGAGCGTGACCTACAAGAATGTCAAGTTCAATGTCTGGGATGTCGGTGGCCAGGACAAGATCCGACCACTTTGGAGACACTATTACTCTGGTACACAAGGATTGATCTTCGTGGTTGACTCCAGCGACACGGCGCGTGTGGAGGAGGCTCGCTCGGAACTACACAAGATCATCAACGATCGTGAAATGAAGGATGCTCTGCTTCTGGTGTTCGCCAACAAGCAAGATATTCCTGGCCGTACGTATCTCCCGTTCCTGGGATTCAATGAATCTGTCCGCTGACCCACTTTTAGACTTGAGCCCGGAGGAAGTTACTCAGCAGCTTCAATTGACTAAGCTCAAGGACAAGCTGTGGTACGTTGCGCCTAGTGTTGCAACAGATGGAACAGGTATTTTCGAGGGTCTTGTAAGTCATGCCCCTTATCTATCAACTTGGAAATCCCAATCTGACCGTGCTATCTCTTGCTAGGCCTGGCTCTCAAACAATGTCAAGACCCAGCCCCAGAAATAAGATGCACCGCTGTGATTTCGAGAGGCACTCCTCGAGCAGCTTCGTTGTACAACATCTCGCATTATCAAGTGTTTTCCTATTTTCTCTTCATGTCCGTGTTCTGATGACAAGACGACGCAGCATTTGGGCTTTTGTTTCCTTGGTCTTTTCTTTTGTTGGCCTTAGTTATCTCGTTGCTTTTTCCACTGTTTATCTTCACTTCTATGATATCCCCTCTGTTCTTATATGGGCTTGTTGGGTCCAATTTAATACTTTAATTTCATCGTGCTCTCTACCAGCGTTGTTATTGTTTGTATACCCTTGGTCAATCGTGGATGCGCTTGTACACATAATGGCCACAACGGAGACAGAGACAAATTCTAGCATTGGTTATAGAAAATAGAAACACATGACATACTTTTGATTAACATGCGTGATCAAATTCGTATCTCCCGAGGTCATCGTTTCCACGGAGCCCACCTCCGCATTAGATCCAGATGTTCATATAGCCATGGATCAATTCCAACCCAGTCAGCCGTTTCTCCTGCTACCTCAATATGACGATAGCGGAACTCGTTCCCCCATCATGGCCAAATATAAATAGAATGACTGTTTAGAGTTGACTCTTGCAAGAGCCTCTTTCTATCTACAAATATCAAAAGACTGCCCTACTCTATTTGTCCACGCAAACTTGTACAATTCAGTACATCTCGGGGTATCCAAGTTCATAACTCCCACGCCTGGAATTACCACTACCACTACCTCCATCAGCCCCAACAGCAACAATGCCAATGCCTCGCTACAAAGAAGGAGACAAAGTTAGTTACAAACCGGTGGGCGGTATGATGGACCCTTTTCTATAAGATACATACTCATATCCAAATGAACCACCAACTAATAAATTACAATAGGCGCCCAATCTAGGACTAGCACGAGCACCGGACTCATTCTTGAAAACTTGGGGGGCCGTAGCTCGTCAGACGATGAGCCACGCTATAAAATCGAGAACATGCACACCCACAAGAGCTCCAATATCAAGGAGGGAAACATTGAGGGACCGGCGGAGTAAACCGTTGATCTTTCCGGCGCTGGGAGATGTATATTGACTTAGCATACTAAATTGACCTGAATTGCTTTGTCTGGGAATTTCCAGTATCCATAATACATAGTTAGGTGTAAACCACTCTAGATTGAACTTGTCAAAATATCGATATTTTGCGCTATATATGAGAGATAGCAGCATGATTGGAGACACAAGAACATTAGTTATCTTGCGGCCTTTAGATTGTCTTGTAACCGGTAGTTAAATTCAATGGCAGTACCTGAATGACGTAGAAATGTGATAAAGAGCTTAAGCGTTGCACATTTGATGTGTTCGATTGGTTTCGTCACCACAACTTCAACAAACGAAACCCAAGTTCATCCAAGGCTAAATTGACGATCCCCAGCAGATTGACGGCAGGTATCAATAAACCTGCTCACCTTCATAGAAAACACTATACTGATGCCTATCTCTCCAGACGATGAGCGACTTTCCACCGCCGGAGACCACCATCAAGACAAGGGGATTTAGAGAAGTGTGTGAGGTCGATGGCCGTCCATTTTTCCGGAAAAGGGGTGCACAGGAGTGGACCGAAGACAAATGCAACCCGGAGGAGTTGAAGCCGCCAGTCGAGAACCCGAATCTCTATCTCTACCTCGTCCAAGAAGAACAAGCCCCCGGAGAACCCAACCATTGGGCACTCTTCCTTGCCGACGAAAACGAGCCCGATTACGGCTATGTTTACCAAGTCACGGGAGACGCAGAGGATATGAAATACGAACCGTCGGCGGAAAAAATCAATGTCGTTGACGCTGGACTCACTTCTAACGTCTACACCCTGGCTGTTGTGTCCCAAGAACAGGCCAGAGCCGCGAGGGTGGTGAAACAAGCTGCCGAAGAGGAGCTTCCTCCACAAGCGGAGAATCTGAAGTCTGTTACGGAGAACTGTCAGGGGTGGACTGTGCGGGTTATTGATAGGTTGGTTAAAGAGAAGATTGTTATGCCTCAAAAGCTTGAACTGGCAAGGTCTTTGATGCAGGCTGTTTGACGTCGGGGGACAACCAAATGGCCAGTGCTGCATCTCGCATTTCATTTAAACAGATAGAGAACATGCTTGATTCTTGCATACGATGAGAGGAGGAAAAGAATTTGGACTGAAAAGAAGCTCGTTAACCATATTCGAGAATAAAGACATCAATTGCTTGTTCAAAGAAATATTATAATTTCGTTCAAGGCATTTAGTAAAAAACCGCCGTAAAACCAAAATCCTAAGCCCTGTTATATTTGTTGAAGAGTAACGAGAATGGCATTGATCAAAATTTTGAATGTAAAAATGGACAGAAAAGGAAGTCTATTGTTTCGCTTAAACATCAAGTTTAAGCCTGGTTGGGCCAGATATCGTTGGCAATATCACGGACCAGCTGCAATTTGTTGATCATACCGTCCCAGTCGATAGCATTGCCCTCACGATGAGAAGCAAAACCACACTGTGGGCTAACACCGACCTGGTTAAGCGCAGCATCGAGGGAGATGTTGTTACCCTCGGCGATGAACTTAGCAGCATCAATGACCCGCTTCTTCATCTCCTCCTTATCCTCAAGCTTGGCGAACTTGCTAGTGACAACACCCAGAATGACGTTCTTGTGGGTGGGCAGGAACTTGAGAGGTTCGAAACCACCGGCGCGGGGGGTGTCGTACTCGAGGTAGTAGGTGTGGACGTTCAGCTCCTGGAAAAGCTTAATAGCAATACGGTCGTAGCCACCCTCGGAGAAGTGCCGGCTGCCGACAAAGTTACCGCGGCATAGATGAACACCGACGTGCATATCGGCGGGCAGGTTTGCAAAGCAGTCGTTGTACTGCTTGATATACTTCTCGAACATGGTATCGGCGGAGTATACGTTTAGAGGGTCCTCCTTGAAGCCAGTGAGGAACTTATCAGAGCAGAAGTCTGAGTGAAAGGTTAGTTTAGCCGGTATTGGCTGCATGGCTGCATGGGTACATCTTACAAGCCAGGTTGGGGTCGTCGAATTGGACGTTACGGCAGCCGGCATCATACAGGATTTGAAGCTCTGCCTGGTATGCCTTGGCGATATCGCCGAAATAATCCTCGTCGTTGGTGTATACAGACTTGGGGTAAGCCTTGCCCTCACGGTAGCGCAGGTGGTACCAGTTAGGCGCGGCAAGAGTAATCTTCAGGTTTCCGACCTCGTTGGCAGGGACCTGGTTGGCGAGGTACTTGAACTGGTCGACGTAGGTGCTACCAACGTGCTTGATCTTGCCGGTACAGATGACGCTCTCACCAGGCTTGTGGCCGGCCTCCAAAAATGCGGCGATATCGGGGGCATAGGGACGGAAGTCATCCACGTCGACATCGTTGACCTCCTCGAAGCCATCTAAACCGGGGAAGAAAGTGCCCCAGAACACTATATCTGTCAACGCGACTCGCCTAATGGCTCTCCAGATCTCTTACTGTGACGACGGTACTCGCCGTCGGACAGAGCGGCATATCCGAGCTTTTGTTGGGTCTTAACGATGGCATTAATCTCCTTGTCCTCGGAAGCGGTCAATTGCGATTCTGGGATCTTGCCAGCCTCGAAAGCAAGCTTGGTTTCCAAAAGCTCATTTGGGCGCAAGAGAGAGCCCAAGTGCTCTGCGCGGAAAGGAGGACGCTGATGAAGTTGGGGAGCCATTGTGAATAGATTAACTGCGGGAGTTGATGAGCGTTGGTTCTATAAAGATGCGATAATATCTTACCTTAGCGATCTACTAGGACAAATAAATTCTGGAAGAAAGAAAGGAAGTTTGGGAAACGGATAAATCGAAAGAGGGGCATGGCATTGCCATTGCCATCTCATCCGAGGCGCTCTCCAGGGCTACAACGAATCCAGCCGTGATAGGCATTGCCCCACAGCAAAACACTGAGGCTCTCCACATTTTCGGCGGATTTGGCTGGTTTGGCCGACTTGGCCTGCGGGTTTCCTTTGGTTTGTAGTTGCCGATCTCCTTGATTCCCAATGGGTAGTGGGCTGATAGCGGTCGTTCATATAACAGGACATAGTGAAGATCCTATATGGATGTAAGATGGTATGATGTGACAATGCGGGGGATTCTTGGCAATCGAACTGCGAAATAGTTCCCCATTATTCTACGTAGAAAGTACTCCGTCATATTGTTGTGTCTCGGACATGTCTCAAATCTATTAGAGTGCACGGACCACAAGGTTGCCCACTTGTATACACTTTCTTTGTAGTCCCTCTGGTTAATTGTATCTATTTGTCCTATCCTTCAATCCTTCTTATAGTTATCTCTTTCAACGGGGCTCGCACAACTACAATCACTTTCATTTTGTAAAATCCATTGAAAAGACCATCTGCTGAGTCATCGATTACAAAGAGTTCAGTGGAGCCATCGATTGGAGTGGGGAAGCCCGGCACTTCACTTTCATTCCCTCAGCCGACGACTTCTCCCTTCTAGTCTACTAGTGCACCCTAGGTACTCCGTACACTGTCATACTGGGCAGTGCTGGATATTCAATTGTCATAGTAATGTGGGGCGAGGCTCTCGACATGAGCAATCTGCCATGTCTGTGTCAGCCTCTCTGTCTCCTTTGGAACTCCTCCCCAATGAGCTCCTAGACCAGATTATCACTTACTTGATCACGGAGCCACCGTCATTTGGACAACTACATCACACACCCAGTCTGGAACTCACACAATCTCCAACAAAGGACCTCAAACATCTTGAATTATGCTCACGGTGCCTATTTCAACTTGTGCGACCTCAACTGTTCACTCATGTCCGGCTCAACCTCCATGATGAACCCGACTTCCACTCTTTTATGGCCGAGTCAGGTCTCTGTCAATATGTGACATCTTTCGTCGCAATCGCGGATGGAACCCCAGATCGTCAGGTCGACCCATTATGGTGGCGCCGAGTCCTCCGCTATCTAGACCCCCGCCGTGTGCTAGTAATCGGGCCGCCGGTCTTCATTGGCAACACTCTAGATAGCCCGATTAACGATGGGCATCACTGGGCATTTGATATGCCCCTACAGATCTTACTTTTGGAACGAGAGTGCAAACCTCGTGACCCATCCCAATTGCCTGGCCTAGAGAATTGTGCTAGTCTTCTAGCATCACGACCATGGACATCGATGACTTTTAACGAGTCATCTTCTCTGAAAGCGTACAACCACTATGAGTACTTCCTTTCCTGTGTCCCATCGGTTCTTGTAGAATGGGGTACACGTGGGATACCCGGAACAAGCCGTGAGCTTGAACGACCAATCGACTTGCCAGCTCATTTACGCGGCCTCACATACTTTTCCTACACGGCCGTGTTTCCATTTTACAATCACTCGCAAATTGTAATGGATGCTATCGTGAGGATGCATCATCTGCGTCGCCTTGATGTACAGTTGGCACCCCCTCAAGATAATCATATTACCGAAATTGAACAACGGGGGTCTATGGATCCTAACGATCCGTGGATGGAACTTACAACCTCGTACTCTCTGATTGGGTATACTGTGGGTCTTCTGCCCTGTTTGCAAGAGTTTAGGTGCGGCGACCTGCATGTAGAGGCCATGCGGCAGGATCTGCTAGCTGTTTTGGATGATGCCATCGGGGACAAGGGCTGGGTGCATGATGGACGTGGAGTATGGAGGCGAGCTTGACCATTTTTCCACAAAATGTAACTTTAGCATATTATTCTTTATCTATTTTCATCATCATAAATGCCACTTTCACTTCATGATTGAGACCAGCGATCAAAATAATATTCCAGATTGAACGTTTTAAGTATGTTGTAGAGCCGATCAAACGGAGGGAAACTCATGATGAGGCTAGACCAAATCGGGAATATCCACTTTCGCTTTCGTCTCTACCATCAACCACTCACCCTTCGCTCTTCTACTTACATCCTGATATCAAACCCATAGGAGCTTGCAAAATTTGTATACACGGAGCCATGGCAAGCGCATCAAATGTTTACTCGGCAGAGCCTGCATTTCCGGTCCTTGCTGATTCCCTACTTCAACAGTCAGAGTCAACAGAAAATGCAGCTCCTCCTTCAAATGAGACAAGTGCAAAAAATGACTGGAACCTCAAAAATGATTGGAAACAGGGTATCCAATCTTCCAAAGATGCAGTCTTCCGGTGCGGGGTTGTCCTCGGCTTCTCCAGGCTGCGAATGAGAAGCAATGAAAGCTACGAGTATATCGGACAGGTATGACTGGCTCAACACTACTCGCTGTACATTGTCAAGGAGACTAATACTACTATAGATTCCTCGATACATTCTCGTAAACCAATTGCGGAGTATCCATCCATCATCTGAACCGAGCGCATTCATTATCCACCCACGAAATTTCGAGGCTTTTGCCCCAAGGACTCTACTCAATGAGCTGCAGTCTTCTTCCCATGATCAACCAGGTCTATCAAGGGATGATGCAATCCGTAGACTTGACTCTGTACAGTTACTTCCCGTACACAACTTCACCAATGCCGCACAGGCCATCGGCAAGGTCTCGGAAGTGCTGGACGAGATCCAAGAAAAGCGTGAGCAACAGAGAAAAACGACCGAGGCAAGCCCCTCCACCGAAAATCCCATTATTCTCATCGTTGCGGGGCTTGATACTCTAACGGAAGGAGTAATTCGAGCCTCTAACCCGGCTCGAGGTGCAGCCGTTCTGACAGCTACACTCCGCACCTTGACGCATTTGTCCCGTGTGCACGCCTCTCATCTCTCGGCCATTCTTGTCAATACTAATGGACTCGGGACCATGAACCCAGAGTGGGATAAAAACCAACCGTCGACTGGAAATACTACTACCCATAAAGATAGTGCTACGAGGCAGCCCCTAGAAGATGGGATCCACTCCATCTTCCATTCGGATATCCCCTCCCTGTTCCCAACCTTACTCATGAAGACATTAGACCAAGGCATCGATACTCATATGTTGCTTTCTGACTTGAGAGGAGCTCAGATAGTTGAAGTGATCAAAGATCGAGTTGGTACGAGTCTAGGCAAATGGGGAATATGGAACGAGCAATGAATGATACCATTTGCCATGATGTCGCTGTCAGAAAAAGACGACCTTGATCGATCTCAATGCAATTGTCTATACTCTTACAAAAAGATATTCTCAAACAATAACAGATCCGCCCCTCGCAAAGCGCCGCTTTGTATGCAATTGGCCCAAAAACCCGGCCACTACCATCCTACTATATTAAAATCTACAAAATACCAACTCCAGTCCATGAGCCTTTTGTTTTGCCTCTCCGCAATCAAGGGGTATCAAGCTTTTGTTTGTGGAAACTGGCTGGCCATGGAAGAAATCCATTCGGCATTCAAGCCTGATTATCCTTCTCGGCCCATCGTCTCATCACACCCCGCTCCACCACAGACCGAGCTTCCTCCTCACACTTGGCGAGGTCCTGCTCTGCTGTTTCCTCCTCGAAGAGGATGTCTTGCTGTTGCACTTTGACCCACTGCTTGTGTCTCTCGCACCGCTTCTTAGTGCAGACGCCACGCGTCCAGAATGTGATATCGTCATCGCCGTCGCCGTTCATCGCGGTGTCCCCGTCTGTATCGGTACCAGCAGAGGAGATCACAGCCAAAGCTTCAGCCGTTCCCTCCGCGAGAGCTTTCTTTCCAGCGTCGGAGAGTCGCCATTCATCGAATTCTTCGTCGGACCACGAGAGTCGCGAGTCAAAGCCACAGATATCTTTCCATCCGCCCTTCGGCTCGTGCTGCTTCAGTTTCTCGACTACGCCCTTGGCGCGTGGCTTGAGAAGCGAGACAAACGTCGTGCGTGCCGCAAGCATCTCTTTACGATGGAGGAGCTCATCACGCTGCGCGCGTAGCTTTTCGATCTTCGCAATCTCATCGGGCGAGTATTCCAGGCCGTTGGCATGGACGTCAACTCCCAACCACCTGCCGCTCTGCGGCTTTGATTCGGCCTTAATCCCAGCTACAGCAGTTTCTTTCTGGTCTACCCGTGGTGGCGGGGAGATGATGCGATCTCCAAGCTTTCGAAATTCTTGGGTAGATGCTACCCCCATGATGGCAGCTTTCAGGTCCCCAGCTGTAAGAATGCCACCCATGCTACCCAGGTCTTCAAAGAGACCGTTCGCCTGACCGGCACGCTGTTTAAGTTGCTGAGTCTGTTGGCGCATGAATTCCCGGCCGTGGTCATCACAACAGTATTTGCTCGGGGGCTTCGTCTTGGCCCGCGCAGGCTTGCGGCACTCGACTAGACGACACATCGGTTTCCATGTTGTGCATCCCTTTCCTTCACTTGCGCATTTCGGGCCTGGTGTTTGAAGTTAGTTCTGAATAGAATAGAGCCGTCGCTCATGGACACTTACAGATATACCGCTCGATCAAATCCGCATCTCGAGGATCGATATTGACGCATTTCCCATGGTACCAGTCATCACAGTCGCCGTCACACCCGATCATCCACGTGTGGTTATCAGGTCGGCGGCAGATACAGAAGATCGCGTTTTCATCAAAGCTATCGGAGTCGTCATTTTCCTGGGCAGCAGCTGGTTTGGGCCCTTTCTTCTTTTTCTTCTGTGGCTTCTTCTTCTCCTCGGGAGGCGGTGACCCTGCTGTCGAGACGGAATTTTGCTTCTTGGCGGGTGTCTTGCTCGCGAGGGAAACTGGTGTGTTGGAACGCCGCCCATCAACGCTGTCTGCGTCCGGGTCATTCACCTTGCGCTTCTTAGCGGCGGGTTTCTTTGCAGTTCCCTTCTTGCTAGTGTTTGTTGTGGGCTTTTTGTTTGCTGGTTTGACAGAATTTGCTGGGGAGGACCGGTCGGACGATGACGCTCTCGATGTCAGCCCGTGCTTCAGGTTCGCCACTGTTTTGGATGTCGCGTAGTCAACCGCGCCATCAAGGCCTAGTGAATTTGTGTCCAAGTCATCGCTAGCTGGGAATTTATCGAGAGTAGAGCTTGTTGGCTCGGTTTTGACTGACGGTAAGGGTGTATCTTGGTTTGCGACCAGCGGAATGCCCTTACTGGGGTCGTATGCACCATCGTAGAGGTCGATCCACGTCACACTCTTCTTGGAACTGGCCACGCCATTTTGAGACGCAGGTCCAAGATCCCTGAAGAGTTGGTGGACCTTCTTAGCTCTGACGGTGCCAAAATATCCGCATTGTCGCCAACCAGTAATCCCCACCACCCGGTTATCCTGAACAATGATATTGCTCGGGATGAAGTTGTTGTGTGTTAAAGATAGTTCCTCCTCCTTGCTTCTTTCTGTGAATAGGATATCTCGTTCGCGGGTCTCGGCGGAGGGCGGGATTTGGGCATTGAGTTCACGGCATATATAGGACGGTTCGTTTTGGGGGGAATCGATTGTTCCGAGTCGTTGGAGGATCTGGCGACACTGATTCTTGAAAACCTCGATCTGCTCCACGTCAAGATACCTCCACGCAACTTCCAGCGAGACACCCGCAATGCGGGACTCGATTGTCACGTTCCTCCCCTCAATTATCCCGCAAAAATATAACACAGGCACTGCGACTCCAATCTCTCTGAGCGAGTCCTCTGCCTTCTGCGCAGCTGACAGTTCATTCGCATTCGCAGACGAGTAACTCTCAGCCGCTGCTCCATCGGCCGGTTCGCGGTCAACCCAAATAATTATACTCCCGGCCGCGAATGCCTCCCTCGGCCCTGAGATATTGAGTGAGTGTTCCGGGGTACAGTATTGCTGTGAGACCTTCTCCCAGAACGAGTTCACGGCCGGGTCAGACTGATACCAGTTCATGAAGCGAGGGGTGAAATCGTCGGCGCGGGGTGTGTAGCGGCCATACTGCGCGCTCTGGGAAAGAAACGGGTCATCGCTAGAAATTTGATCGGGGTTTGTTTCGTAGGGGTTGGTTGTGAACTTTGTGGCCGCGGAGCCGTTCACCTGGTTTGCGCCAGCGGCCGCCTCCATCTCCGCCATAGCTGTGACGAGTGGAGTGGAGGGGTGTATTGCGCGCGGGTTCGAGAAAATAGCTCCAGGATAATTCCCGTTCGTATTCGTGAGAAATGAAGCTTGTGTGGACTCCTGTGAGGTTCAAATATGCGAGCGAAGATCGCGCGGGCAAAACTAAACCGATATAAGTTCCACCGAGACTGCCGGAGACATCATGTGGATTGCATCGAGGGTGTAGGGTCTTGCAGATGGCTTTTCGGAATTTTTTGAGTTTGCGCGATCCTACTTCTGCGATTGGGAGAGTGCTCTCGGGGGTCTCGTGTTGACTGTTGAATTCTCAGGTCGAAGGGTTGGCGTGATCCCACTGCCGATCGAAGAGATGGGGGTCTGGTCCAATGACTTCGTTGAGGGTGTTTGGTTGGTGGTTATGAGAAGGAAACAATCTGAAATCGTCCCTTGAACATACAGATTATTTGATTCCAGCTTGATTCAATGTCCAGTGCCTTGAGGTCTGGATTGGACATTGTCGGAGTTGCGGACTGAGCGCGAAGGCGGTGAGAAGATCCCGGACACGCGACAGCGACTTCCTTGACTTCACTCTTCTTCGCTTCTCCCATTTCACTTTTACTCCACGGATATTTCCCAGAGAGTCGAATCAAATACTTTGATGATTATCATTAACGTATTCTGCCAGAGATATCTACGCCCAGAAAAAGATATCTCAGTACCACCTCAACATATCTAGTACTGATATAGAGAAGAGTTCGAGTTCTCACAACGTTCACCCTCTTCATCTCCAAACAGGGACTGGAATCGCGTAATGCTGATATCAGTGCTAAGTTTTCTTCATTGTATTTCAGTCCCAAATGCTCGAGGGTCACTGGAATATCAATAACTTGCACCATATACCCATCACCCAAGCCTTCCATTGTGTCCTTCGGAATGGTACATTCATCCGTGAGACGCTTACATGTCTAATATGCTCCATTTACGTGCCTGGGCTTTCACTTCTATTCCATCCCCCCTACAAAGCTTGCAGATAAATCGATAGCCATGCACTCGGCTAGGTAGCTCTTGCGTAGTCAGGTACAACCACCTTCTCTCCTATTCTCCTGTACTACCACCGCCAATAGTCGTGAATTCCAGGTAAATCCCACTTCCCCCAACTTCCTAAGGAAGACCCAATGGTTGCTGTCAATGTACGGACAATGTTGCTATAGTCTTGAGTGACCGATAATGCACGATGCGGTCTGTTCAACAAATTTGTATTGTCTATTTTTCATGCGCTAGATTATAAAAAAAACCCCCATGACTGGCCTTGGGTGGGTGGGCTTTGAAATGGTATAGCAAGTCAGCAAGTCAGAAAGTAAGGAGATATTTACGCTAGTGTTTAACTGCAGAGATCCCAGCAATGAATTGAAGCGTGAGCGGGAAGGCAATATGCTTTCATTGTAGCTATGTAGATGTTCACGCACATATAAAGTTGAAGACATATAATAGTGTAAACCCAAGTCAAATACAAAGATTCAGAAGATGGTATTAACCATCAGAGTCCAAATGACGAACAACCGAACCTCCTCGACGGGGGATGTGTTTAGACCATCTCCAATTGCTTTCTTTGTGCCCAAGCCAAGTGTATGATTGGCGTCTCACCAGGCTCTCTTCAGTATGCAATATCATTCCAAATAGATGTGGGCACGAGCCTGCCAAATCTCGGAGAAAGGGTGATCGACTTCTCCTGTTTCACCCCCACAACCAGGTTGGCGAGCAAGGCCATGATACAAATCTATATGACATATAGAAATAAAATGGCAAGAATGGTAACCACATTTTCTTTATCACAGTATCACAATCAACCTGCATAATAGTCTGAACATTCGCAGTGGGCTGGCAGTTCATCCCAGGCCGGGTTTCTTCCAGCGACATGATTTAGGGACCAGCAATCGAAGATCCTTGGGTGGCGGGATATTACAATCGACGACCATGTGGCGACACGTTTCAAGTAAAATTAGAACCGAACAGCTCCCGGGTATAAGGCACAGGAATCAAATGATCAGCCGGTGACATTCATATGAGTTTTGAGTGTCCTGAAGGATCAAGCCAATAGTTGGAGGGAAACTTATCCACGGGTACATGAAAGAGGGTCTCAAAGGTACAAGAGCTTGCTGAGCTAGGCAGGTGTGGCAAAAGAAGTAAATGATCATCTTTCAGCAGGAGTTGCCATGTCTGTGATAGCTTCATCGGGATTGAGAATGTGCTTGTTTGTTGAACGGACCCACGCAAAGCGCAAGTACCTATGGGACTATGGACTGCAACTAGCTAACACGCTAAGGAGTGCGAACCACTTTCCCTGATGTACAGTGTAGGTATAGCTTAAATTACAACTCGGGACAAACTAGCCCCTACTTTATAGATCCCCAGCCCTATATGGAGTATGTGTTTGAGGTTTACTTACTTCCCTAAGCAGGCTAGACTTCTGTTCTTCAGAATCTTTCGTACATAAAAGAAATATGGTATTACAATTAAGTGGAAATTTACGGCCAACAAAAGCCAACTAACCCGAAAAGGAGGAAACACCCAGCCGTTGGAAAAAGCCACTTCCAGGGTCCTCCCAGTATCTTTTTTTTTTAAATAATTCCGTTTGATTGCCTTGATTAAATTGAGCTTGTCCAACTAACTGTCCTAGCCCAAATACAATATAAATTTACGCCGATAGTGGACTCGACGGATTAACCTCGGGTCCCAATCTCCTGCAAACCCCTCTACCCCAGGGTTTTCCTTCAATATATGGAGCTTTAACCTACCTCCAATAACCTGAAATTCTCTCTGATATGTATATCCTACGTAGGGGATGTTCCCCCCCCCCCCCCTTATGGCTCCCTAGTATACGGAGGAGTTCCCTGTCCCTGCTTACGCATGAATCTCAAACGCTAGTTTGCCCAAGAATTAGCTGTTTTGGGCCCCATGCGCAGAATATTGGACCGGCTATTTCGGCCAATACGTAGCGGGATAGGGGAAATTGAGCTAACCGACCTGCAGATGCTGGTTGCTGTTATGCTTTGGGCGTTATGGTAGCTCCGCTATCGTTTGTAGGGCACCACTCCACAATGGCACGGCAAGGTGATCATAGCCAAAAAGAAGTATATGCTTCAGTCTTACACAATTACACAATACTATATACACCTGTACCTTGTTTCAATTGTACTTATCTATTTTGAAACTGGGTAGATCAAGTTTCAGAGTGATGAGGCTTCTGTGCTTTATGGTCAGATCAAGGCGCATTGTAGTAGGATTTCCAGGGATCCTTGACGAGTAGTGGGGATCATCTTTCTAGACACCTCCAACGGAAGTTAATCACATCCCGCCCTAGAAACTTTGCACATATGCTCAAACGGAGAACGTTTGATCGGGAGTAGCCGATGAGAAAATGGGAGAGACATCGGCTCTACCCGAGGACTTTAGCGCAGTAAATTTACCCACTTAAATTGCAAATGACCCTGTGGATATCACAATTGTGGGACTTTTAGTGGGAACAACGCACGGCCGATAGAATCCATAACCGACGTACGAATCTAGACTAGTCTTATAACACGGTTCTTCCTGTGGATACGGAGTAATGAAACGTGAAATACATTGATAGGATGAAAGGAATGAATTCAAAGAGGTTGAAGACTCAAAATAAAACAAAGAATAAACAAAGACCTTTGACGATAAATAAGGGAAGATCGGGTGTATATAGACTTGAGTTATAAGGTTGTGAAAGACGTAGTCATTACGGAGCTTTATCAAGGACTAGAAAAAGTCATTGTATGGAGGAAACTGTCACCGTATTCAACGTATAGAAGGCCTCAGCCCCCTCACGTTTCCTTCATAATCCACAGAGAGCAATTTCTTTCACCACCAATCAGCCAATCGAAGAAGAAGAAAAAAAACAAGAAAAAACAAAAAAAAAAACAAAGAGAAAAAGAGAAAAAGTAAAGCATCACCCTTCTCTACAGCCTAACAGAATGACATCCGATTCTAGACTCCAACCCAATGTGTTCATGAATGGTAGGGGCCGAATTGCAGATCCGCACGACGAGATGCCTGATTATTGCTGGGTTACAGCGCATTTGCCCGAGAATATGTCGTGTGATGGGCAAAGCGACGAGGAAATCATGAACCTTGTACTTTGCAAGATACAGATTGGGAATGTCATCATTGGTGATAGTGCCCTGCATAGCTTAGGATGCTACTGCCTTTCCTTGCCGGTTAAAGTTGCACCCGGGGAAAACACCGGCGAAGTTTTGTCTTATGCTGAAACTCTTGCGGAATGGTGGCTCAAGCAAATCCGCCTGGGTAGAGCCTGTCTTGACCAGTACAGTATTTTTGAAGCCACATGGCGCTCCCTAGCACACTAACAGCCTAGAGAATGGACCTCATGGGTGGGGCCCGTCTCGATAACCCAGCAAAGCGTTGTAGATTACCTCTCATGGAAAGGGATTGGTGCATATCCGGCACACAACAGCGAATAATTTCTTCTAAGGAACGGATATCTCGGAGTATAGCGAAGATTTGCCGGTGATCGACTAAAGAGATACCGAAGAGGGCATGTAGCAAGCGTAAAAGCCACCGTGGGGGCGGAGAATTGGGGATAGTCTCATAGTTTAAATTTTCAAAACTTCAGTCTGCCTGTTGTATATGATATCCGGAGCTTAGAGTTTGCATTTGACGGTCTATTCCGCGGAGTACTCCGTAATCCTAACGTTTATACTCCACTGAAGTAGTCGGTTAAAAGAAGAGCTTTGCGGGTTTGTCACTGTAGAAAGAGTCCCGTAGTCTTGAAGTATGCTAAGGATGTTTTAATTGCCACTACATCATCAAGAACGGCACATCTAGATATCTTCAGTCTCTAGCGCAATTAAGCGACGTATAAGGCAATATAGACGAGATGATCAGCAAATCTAGACAATAATAGCACAGATATAGCTCACCGTTGAAGTCATGAAACCTCTCAGACTTTCCCCTTGCAGAGATCTCCTTTTCAGCCCCCACTAATAAAACCAATTTAAATTTCTGGTCAACCGGGCACTCTGTATCCATTGATATCCATTGATATCCATTGATGTGCATGATCCCTTGCAGCAATTTCCTGCAACAAATGGAAACCAGCTGGAAAATCATGCAATGCTTCGATTTGACCGCCAAGACACTAATGGACGGAGCTTCCCCGAGGCCCTAAGAAAGGTATTAACCCGTGTGGTTCTCTCCACATGTTGTAGTTCTCTTCCAGAGTCCATCACGTAGGCACGAAATGCTGCAGGCTATGCAACAGCTGTGATGATGCTCTAAGCGAGGGAACTATATGACGATCCCAATCTGTAAGTCACAGGCAACTCACGGCTGACCGCAGGACCGGGTAGAACGCCGGGTGCACACCCGGGCACACAGAATTGATGACTCGATGTAACGTAGTGGAGACCGTTTACTTACTCTAAAATATGGACTTGATAGATCAGGCCTAACCTAATATGGAGGGGACAACACGAGAATTTAGTTTTGTCACGGTCCTTTCAGGGGATGATCGTACCGACCCTGAAGCCGTTATGGGGTCTAGTATATACCCACGCGTTTAGCCCCCAAGCTATCTAGAAGTGTATTGTTTATACGCAGCTATTCGTCCCCTGACTCGCTGCACCGTTGATCTCCACACGTGTTGACCACAGCATGGAAGATCGCTATTCCAGTCTAGTCTAGTTCGTCAAAAGGCGACGGGTGGAGCACGCACATCCCACCTAATGCTCTGTCTCTAATTATCTCCATTATGCAGTTACTATAATCCTTTTTACGTTAGATCGAGATTGGAAAAGAGTTGCCCCATTGCTAATTTGTTGTTCTATTCTTGGATCTTTTTTCCTTTTAAGGGCCGACGTTAGACTCGCCCCGTCGATTATATCCATCAAAATTCTCCATACTGTCCTTCCTTTACCCCACAAGGAGACGAACGGCTCCTGTGTTTTAACTGCACATATCTGTTTCTCCTGTCATTACGTAGGCTATCAGAAAGATGCCCACCTCTCCTGATCAGACCGCTAGCAATGCGCCGGACGCATCCAATGTGCGGTGGCAATTCATCGACTCATCGAACAACAGTCGAACCAACCTAACCCAAGTGAAGCGCCATGTTATGCAAGAATATATGCGCCAGAAGAAAAGTGGCGCTCACCAAAGTGAAAGTGAAGAGGAGACACCACGACCAAAACGTGGGAGGCCCAAGAAGACTCGGGGTGCGCAACGGAAATCAGACAAGGAAGCGAAATCAGACGGTGACAGCAATAACAATCAACCTCGAACAAGGAGATCAACCAGAAAGCAATCTACACGCAAAGAAGACCTCAACGTCGAGGTCAACTGCGATGTGTTTGTTTTGAATCCTATCTCGTCGGACCCTCCGTTGATCGAATCCAATGATGTACCCTCGTTTCCACCTTTCCGACCATCTTCTGCCGAATCTCAAGATGTTCCCCTTCCACTAGATGGCTTTGTCGATGTACATCCACAGAGCACTCCCAGCCATGATTTATATTGTAACGATTTCTCATGGCCGTCACCCTCCACAATCCCATACCAGTTCATGCCGTCACCTATGATCAGCGGTCCACAAATCGACACATTCAACGCACTTTCTCTTCCTATAGATTTGGGTCGAGATGAACACAGGATATTCGACTCCTATGTGAACCATATTCCTGCCTCTTATGGACCCCGTTACCGGTCTCTCATAGGCCACAACGGCTATACAACGGCTTTTGTACCTGGAACAATGAAAGGTACCATCGCATTCCAAAACACCATTCTCATACATACAGCTAATACGTCGTAATGAAGGCGACACCCAAAATCCTCTTCTTCAGAGAGATCGTGCTGTCTCCTTGCTCCGGGAGCACCGCGCCGACAACCCCCATGAAATCTCTGACGTCGCAATCATTTCCTGTCTGAGTGCCGCAGCCCTGGAGGACTGTGATCCCCGACCCGGCCACAAAGAAATAAGCTGGGTGCACATGCGAGCTGCACGGGAGATGATACGAGCGCGTGGTGGTCCCGCTGCATTTGCAAACACTCGCATCGGCATGATGATCAACTGGCAAAACTACAACTTGCCGGGATATGAGGCTCACGGGCCCAGCTTCTTCTATGACTACGACCAACATGCCCCAGTCTCATCTGCGTCTTTAGCAACATTACCCCACTCCATCCCAAACCCCCGCTCAATTCCATCTCCACCATACTCTACCTCCTCGGCGTTCTCAGAGGTCTCACCCAGCCCCGAACCTCGAACAATGCTCCCACCACACACAGAAGCGATCCCAGTAGACGAGATCAAATTCCAATGCGAAGAATTCTTCGATTTTCTCCGACGCTGTGAACAACTTGCCCTATACCAACGCGATAACCCACAATCATCATACATCACCCGACACACAGCAGTCCAAGAAACATCCATCCTCCACAAAATCCTCGTGGCGCCCCCGGGCGCCCGATTCACAACCTCAAACGACAGAAAACAAATGGTCGCCCGCTTAACAGCGTTGATAACACTCAATGCCGCGATGTGGGATTACCGCAACACCCCAGCGCGCGCAGCAATCTTCCTCGACACCCTGGAGAAATCCATGGTCGACAGCGAAGTCGGAATAAATGGCTCTGTCGAGGCCAGGCTCCAAACCCTGCTTGAATGCAGCGACGGCACTCATGATGGCTGGCCCACCAGTGTCGATGGCTTTGCTTCTGCGGCTCCGGTAGAGGAGCTGCCAGACTTCTCTCAGTACTTTCCGACTGCTACTTCGCCCTCTGCCCGCCCTTGGTTTGCGGGCCGCATGCTGAAGGTTGCTAATCGGTTGAGTCCTTTGTCATGGTTCCGTGTCAATGAGTTTTTGTTCTCGTGTTTGACACTCCAGGTGCAGGGGTCGTCTACGGCTCTCTGGGAAGCGGATCTTCGTCGGGAGATTCTCGATGATGTTATACGCACATTGACTGAGTGATCTATAGCACTGGCCTGGGCCCGATGACTTGTATTTGTTTTGATGTTTTGATGTCTATATTTTCATGTTTTGATGTCCTTTTTTTACCCTCCTGTACCACTCCTTCGGAACTTCTTGTATATACCCTTGATATCGCTTATAACATATTGTAGATTGTTGATAAACTTGGAGAACTTTCAAGTAACAGAGCTAAAGCCTATGTGTTATAAACTTGTATCTTCATCTGACCAGGGGGCAGCAATCCATGGATATTCACTCCATGACGTCCCTTGTAACATAACCAATAGCTTCAGCACCACCGTCACTGCCCATCGTCTCCTCATTTATAGCCTGAGTAATGATTTGCTAATAAATCGTCAGCCCGGGGGACCCATTATCCTTAACTTCCAAAACAAAGATGCAATAACTGCCCCTTCATGATTGCCTTGCGATTAATAAGCTCCATACAGCCCTTCTCAGAGTGTAAATTGAACACTGCCTCGCAATTTGCGGCACGTGAGAATTGTTGAACACCCGTGGACTATCAATCTGTTCTCACTTTCACTGTCACCTCTCTTACTTAAATACCTTACACCCCACAAACCTTTCTTCCTTCTTCATCACAAATCCAGCCAACGAGACCTCAGCCATCGTCTCGCATCGTTCTCACTATTCTTACTACTCAGAACCACATCACTGAGAAAACAAACAGACTAAACGCAAGAGAGCTGACTCATGTGAGGCCACCGAGAAGCCTAAAAGGCCCGGTACCAAGGCTGACACAAAGAAGTCATAGCAAATCAGATCAAATCAAACCTAGCCTACAAGCCGATGGATCAAGAGAACCCTGAACCCATCATGGTAAACCACCTCGATGAGATCAACAAGCACCTCAATGAAAAACACAATGAACATATCAGGCTGAAAACGTCTTACGAACTATTCAGAGAACCTAACAGAGTCAAATAAACCACGACACCTAAGTATAGAATCAGCAAAATTATGTCATGAATGTGACGACCTTTTAATCCAAATTCAACCAAAATATATAATGAAACATTAAAGTAAAGACAAAATACAAGAACAAATATAATCTTCATACCTACATCTCCCCAACAAATCTCTAGATAAAGATCGCCAGCAGAATCACCATCATAGAACCCACGGCCTGCATCATCGACGACCGAGTAGCTACAGATGCAGCCCCAGTGTACACCGGACTCACTACACCTGTCACAGTCGAAACAGTAGCTGTAGCCATTCCACTAGAGTGGCTGCTGGGGAACCACGAATGAGTCGAGGAGGCAGAGACAGAACCACTAGCTCCAGCCCCGGAGCCCCAGTGTGGGGTGTGAAGAGAGGGAGCCGCGGTGGGTCTAGCAGCATTGGTCTGGGTCACCACGATAGTGTTGATGTACCCGGTACAGGTATCATCGTCAGAGCAAGATTCAACGACGATAGTCGTGGTGTAGACTGGGCCTGCATCTCTATCTGCATCTGAGCCTGGCCCTGCAATTCCAGAACCGGATTGAGATCCGAGAGAAGCACCGGTAGCTTGAGGGTTTGCAACAGTCACAGGGACAGTGTCTGTTTTGACGCCTTCGGCTGGGACAGATGTGTGGACTGGGAAGACTGGGAAGACAGTCGTTGCGACAGCGATTGTCTCGGTAGTTGCGTGTGAGGTCTTTGATCGCAGTGGGCAATCAGTCACAGATTCGGGGCAGGCAAAGACGGTGGCGGTGCGGGTAGCGAAGATAGTAGATGTGGTCAACGTGGAAGCATCGTTCTCGCCACCCCCAATTACTTCAATGACAGAAGGAGATGTAGTATGCTTCGTAGGCACGGCGCCGTTGACACCAGTAGCATCTGCCACAGGATAAATCGTCGTGGAGAGAACTAGGGTTTCAGTGGTCAAGTATGTAGTCTTTGATCTCAGGGGACAGTTGGTCACTGAAGATGGGCATGCGGTGATGGTGGCAGTGCGAGTGCTATAGATGGTGGAGATTGTGAAGTCTGAGCCGCCGTCTCCATGGCTATAATCCCCAGCACCTCCAGTGGTGGAAGGAGAGGCAGCTGCTGTCTGAGTAGGGCCAGGAGTTCTGGTGATAGGGCAGATTGTGGTGGATACTAGAATTGTCTCTGTGGTCACAAATGTTGTCTTCGAACTGGCGGGGCAGCTGGGGGCTGTAGTAGGGCATGCAGTGATAGTAGCTGTGCGAGTAGAAAAGACCGTCGATGTGGTCAACTCCAATGTAGAGGAGCCAGAGGCCACACTGGACTGAAGTGATCCGGATGGAGTGGATGTAGGGATAGAACCATCAGAGGCAGACGTCGAGATGCTGGCTGGTGAAGATGGTCCAGAGTCAGTCGTTGCTCCTGGAGGAGAACCAGTCAATTGTAGAGGTCCAGTGGGAAGAGAGCCTGGTGCAGACACAACCACAGATGATGGTTGGGTAACAGAAGTGGAAACAGGAGCTGAAGGGGTCTGAATAGCCACAGGCGACGAGTGAGGTCTAGGGGTATGGCTCCAATGCGGCCGAGGTGAGTGACTAGGAACTACACTCGGAAGAGGAGTTGAAGTGGGCATTACGCTAGAGGCAAGCACTGCCGATGAAGAGCGAACAGGACAAGGTTTGCGGCTAGGCAGAGGTCTAGAGACATAAGACCAGTGGTGATGGTGATGATGATTATGATGATGCTGATTATGGTGTGTCGCCACAGCAGTAGGAGTGGGAGTCACGGTTGGCTCAGCAATCAGTGTCGTAGCGAGACTCGTTTGTAGTAGTAATGCGGCCACAATCCATCCTCGAACAAGAAAAGAACCCATCTTGACCGTAATCGAAAAGATTGAACGATTGACAGTAATATGATCAGAAAGCAGCGAAAAAGAATGACGAATCCAACAAACAGAAAAGAATGGCTGATAGTTGGACTGGGGATGAAAAAAGAGTGTAATAATCCAAAGTTCAAAATAAGGCCATCGCGAGGAAATGTGCCTCGTATATACATTGTCGCTTAGGGTTTCCGTACTCCCAACTCGGAGATGCCGACAACAACAAAGCCTGAACGTAAGTTAGAACACAAGCTAACGTGGGCAAAATGCTCCAATTCCTTGATTTTTTCCTAGATGTGAGATAAACTATTGACGCCATTGACGCCTCCGCTCGCTTGTTAGTGCCTCGTCTAAGATCTGTAAATCGATGTGGTGAAAATAGCCGGCCGAGACTCCCACCCAAACACAAAAGGGAGAACTATTTAGTGCGGAGATGTTCCAACCAGGCCCAATTCTCTGGATCAATCGAAAAAACATCTTGTGAAATATAAAAATGTCTATCCGTCGCTTTGCCCTCGCCGCAGCCCTTCTGCTCGGCCCAGTTTCAGCTAGCACGCCTGTGGCCAGCTCTTTACCGGTCAGTAGTCAAGCTCAGGTGGCCACAGAAACTTGCCGAACTGAGTTAGGACATATCTCGGTGAAGTCGGTACCTACCACAACCATCACACGTACCATTCATCAGCGTACCCCCGTCATTATCCTCACAACAACTCTAGAAACTGTCACGGTCACTCCTGCTGTGTCGACCGAGATAGTGACGGACTATGAAACCACTGTCATTACCTCTACGGCTGATGCCGTCACTGATACTTTCTCAACAACCTCAACTGAGTTTGACACTGCGACATTGACTCTAACTCCTGCTCCTATCACCACAACCGTCGCCGAGGTCATCTCGACTATCTCGACCAGCACTTCCACCATTGCCACCTCTGCAGGCTTTACTCCCATTGCAGATACTCTGCCTCCCACTGTTACTGCCAAGCGTTCACTGGAAGAACATGATGATTGTTCTCCTTGGGTGGATGATTACAAGTATCCCCAAGCGGTCGTGTGCCATGAGAAGAAAATCATCAAGACTACAACTGTCTCTACTGTCACCGGATCGCCCATCACTGTCATCGTCGCAACTCCTACAACCACAGTGACAATCACCACCACTATCACCAGCAGCTCAGTGGCTCTTCCCTCGGATGTCTCCACCACACTAAGCTTCAGCACCACTTCAACATTCACCGAGACAACAGTTGCTCCCGGTGAAACCAGCACAGTAACTTCGACTAGCACTGTTCAAGCAGGCACGACCACCACATCCTTCTACGCAGCCTGTGCCACCAACAACATCGCTGGCAGTCCTCTCTCTTCGGACTTTGGCTCGGCTGCAGGCAAATACATCTACTCGCTTGAGTTCAACAAAGTTGCCGGCGCCAAGTTGACGGTTGGTAACACCGCATCCGCATACGAATGCTGTGCCAGCTGCATGGGAAGTTCCACTTGTGCCATGTCATACTACTACTCGTCTGGCTCCATCAAATACTGCTATATAATGACAAGCACCTCTTGCTTGTTTACTTCTAACTATGGCACGGCTCGTTTTCAGGGCAGCGAGACCGGGGCGCAAGTCTCCAATGGAAACTGTGGACATGTGATTGGTTCATATAGTTAGATATGTATAGATGTATAACTAGTTAGTCTGGTGTGGATTACTTTATAGATGATGTAGCATCGGAATTCATATAATGTTTATATTGCAGTAATATTTCAAAGTTTTTGGTATGCGGCTAGACTTCTCTATTCATAACTAGCCTAAATGGGCCAAAAAAAAATCATCGCTTATGTATGGATCTCGCAGGATTGGTCCCAGGTAAGTCCTGGAGATCACGGGAAGTTCCGTGTGACTATTCCCAGGTAGGCATGTGGGCACGTGTCCAGGTGGGTATGGTATGTAGTTTGATACATATCAGCCTTCATGTGTTGGCGATAATAATGCATATGAACTCTTCTTGCAAATGGTTCTAGGTTGGTTTTTAATCAGCGGCTCCGCTGATGGATTTTGTCGAGAGCATAAGTAATGCGTCCGATAACGGGGTGCAAGGGTTCTTATTTCGTACCTGAAGAGGCCTGTGAGATATTTTGCCGGGTTTGCCGCATATCCCAGAGGGTGATCATGGCAAACCCGTCCACGGGTGCATTGAGTACATCTCAAATGGACGGAGTAGGACTAGCTCTGGCGGGATCTACTTAAAGAGGTGCATTGATGCCTGAATCTGCAGGTGAATCTCACTCCTAACCAGTTATAGTTAGCTAACTAACGAGTTAACTAATGACAATGGGAAATTTGTTTTGGGGGCCGAAGTTAAAACCAAATTAATTTTCTGAAATTGCCGCACGTTGCGCATTATGACGCCACCTGGCCCCTGACAGAACCAAAGTTGTTGGGAAGACCCTTTCACATGCAAATCTTAAAAGTGGGGCGAATTTCATGTGATTTGACTAGTATTTGTTGAGGGTAGAAGGGCAAGTAGCTTAAATGAGTATAAAGAGAAGAAAACAGATGAAACAAAGTATACAAAATATACAAAATATATAGAATATTTCAGTCAATCTAAATAGTAGAAGTAATAAAAACATCAATGCCCAAGATAGACAAAAATCCGGAGAATACGATAAGGAAGTCCGTTCCCGGAGAACCCCACGCGAACACGGTGTACAGTGTACCCTGGGACGTTAATGGATTCCATTGGTACCTCTCGAAGCTTTTAGAACTTTAAGACTCTCAACAAAATTTCGTATTTCTTCATTCTCTCTCCCGTTAAACATCATTTCAATTGACCATTTTATACAATCATACCCTTTTTTTTCACCTTATTGAGTGAACTTTGACAGCGTTTGACTTGTATAGCGTCCCCTTACCCTCCTTGCCGAAACAATGGCCGTCCTTGACATCACCAAGGATTTGCCCACACTCTTTAAGCGACAGGTGCAGGCAACGCCAGATGCCATCGCCCTGGAAGATGAGACCACGACATATACATATACCCAGCTGGATCAAGAAGTTGAGGCTCTTGCCAGTCGCTTACGGACCTATGGCGTGAGTCGTGACACCCTCGTGGGTGTGCTCCTACCTCGCAGCGCACATTACGTGATTGCCTGTCTAGCAGCGCTCCGTGCGGGTGGTGCCTTCCTTGTTCTCGAATTGGCTTACCCCGCGGACCTCTTGGCGGATGTCATCGAAGACGCTAGCCCCGCCGTGGTTATCACCCACAAGTCCGAGGTCGACAAAATCAAAGCCCCCGTCCCGGTAATTGCCTTGGATGGACCCGTGGCCGAAATCAACGGACACGCCAAGGAACCTTCTCCGTTGCCGGCAGATGACGATTTGGATCGCTTGGCGTTTGTGTCTTACTCGTCAGGAACGACAGGCAAACCCAAGGGAATCGCCAATCCACACCGCGCCCCGGTACTATCATACGATTTGAGATTTGCAGTGCAAGATGTACAACCAGGTGATCGGGTGGCATGCAATGTCTTCTTCATTTGGGAGATGTTGCGGCCGCTACTGCGTGGAGCCACGGTGGTTGTCGTGCCCGACGAAACGAGCTATGACCCCGCGGCTCTGGTTGATCTGCTCGCGGCTAAGAAGGTCACGGAAACGCTCATGACACCCACTCTTCTGGCTACCGTTCTTTCGCGCTATCCCCGGTTCGGTACTCGTGTGCCTGATTTGCGCATCATTTGGCTGAACGGTGAAGTTGTGACAACCGATCTTGCCCGCAAGGCCATCAAAATTCTTCCCAATGCCCGATTGCTCAACTGCTACAGTGCGTGTGAAACGCATGAGATTGCCTGCGGAGACATCCGTGATGTGATCGATAGCGACTCCATTTACTGTCCGGTCGGCCCATCGATTGTTCCTTCACACACCTACGTTCTAAACGAGGATGGAAAGGAGGTAGAGACAGGGACATCGGGAGAACTCTTCATTGGTGGTCCCCTGTTGGCGCGGGAATACATTAACCTTCCCGAAACCACCGCCAAGGCTTTCGTTCCAGATACCTTTGATTCTACACCCGGTGCTCGTATGTACAGGACGGGCGATCTCGCCCGCAAGCTGCCTTCCGGATCCCTCGAAATCACCGGCCGCGTCGGCGCCATGATCAAGCTGCGCGGATATTCAGTTGTGCCAGCAAAGGTGGAAAGTGACATCTGCCAGTACCTGGCTGTCAACCAGTGTGTTGTGACTGCATACGGCGATGGACTGGACCGACAGTTGGTCGCATATGTTGTTCCCGACGAGGCTTCCTCCGATCGCCCGTCGGTCGTGATTAACGAGTCCGGCCACTCCCCCAGCGCGCGTCGTGTCCTCGAGAACCGTCTTGCCCAATACATGATCCCAGCTCTCTGGGTTGCACTGGACCAATTGCCTACTAACGAGGTCTCCGGCAAGGTTGATATGAAAAACCTGCCTTCGCCTCGCAGCTCCAGCCCTAACGGCAGCGAGCAAAGCGCAGGGAAGGACCCGATTGGTCTTAATGACATTGCGGCAATCTGGGAGGCTGTTCTGAAAGTCTCAAAGAATCTGATCAAGGCTGAAGATAATTTCTTCGATCTGGGCGGTCATTCTTTGTCCCTGGCAGATCTGTCATCCAAGCTTTCCAGACGTTTCGGCTTCCGTGTTCCTATTCCTCGTCTCGCAGAGAACACTACTCTTTCTGGCCACTTGGAGACTGTGCGTGCTGTCAGAGACGGCCATGCTGAAGAAGTACAAGCAAATCTGCCGGCGGTCTTGCTTTCCGATGCCACACTGGATGAGGACATTAAGCCCACAAATACCGCGATCACTTCAATCGCCAAAGCCGACACGGTGCTTTTGACTGGCGTGACTGGTTTCCTAGGCGCTTTCCTACTGAATGATTTGATTGAGAACACCTCGGCTAAAATCATCTGTCTTGTGCGTTTCAGTGACCCCGAGCAGGATGATCAAGCCGGAGGTGTGGCTCGAATTCGCAGGAACCTCCTTGACATGGGACTCTGGCGCGATTCCATTCTGGAACGTCTCGAAATCCTACCAGGAAACCTTTCTCGGCCTCGTCTGGGTCTGGGTCCGGATGAATTTGAGAGCATCGCGGCTCGTGTTCAAGTGATTGTGCATGCTGCAGCCACCGTCAACCTTGTTTACCCCTATGCTGCACTTCGAGGAGCAAACGTGGGTGGAACCAGAGAGATTCTTCGTCTGGCCGCCAAGGGTGGTGCAACCGTGCAGTATATCTCTACCAATGGTGTTTTGCCACCATCAGGTGAGAAGGGCTGGCCCGAAACTACCATCCTCGATATCGAAGATGTTCCCAAAAAACTACTCGATGGCTATGGTCAGACAAAGTGGGTTGCAGAGCAGCTCGTTCTCAAGGCTGGTGAGCGTGGATTGCCGGTCAAGATTCACCGGTGTGGTACTATCAGTGGTCACAGTGAGACGGGCTCCGCCAATGCGTGGGATTTGCTCACTGCATTGATCGTGGAATCCATCCAGCTTGGATACGCCCCAGACGTGGAAGGATGGCGTGCCGAGATGACCCCTGTGAACTTTGTCAGCAAATCCATTGTCCATCTTGCTACTCAGACTCAGGCAGACCAAACTATGTTCCATCTCGGAGATCCCACACCGGTCGATACTCGATCAGTCTTTGAGGACCTCAAAGGGCTTGGCTATGAGACACAGCCTCTCCCATGGGATGAATGGGTGGCGCTGTGGTTCGAGAAGAGAGGCTCAGCCAAGGGTGGCGATGGTTCGTTTACCGTCGACATTCTTCGCAGTGGTATGCCGACTGTTGAGTTCCTCCGAGACATCGTCGTCCTTGATAACGCTTTGACTAGGCCTTTCCGGGCCGTTGTCGAGCGTCCCAAGGTGGACAGCCTGTTGCTGGAGACCTACACTCGGCATTGGTTTGCTCGAGGATGGCTACCCCGGCCCCCATCTCGTCAGAATGCCCTCGGCCGGGCTAAAGCGGGATCGGTGAAGGGGCCACTCAGCGGCCAAGTCGCTGTGGTGACTGGTGCTTCTTCGGGCATTGGCGCGGCGGTAGCAGCCGCCCTAGCCAAGAAGGGTTGCGCTGTAGCACTTGGCGCCCGACGCCTGGATGCTCTCGAAAGCACCAAGCGCAAGGTCGAAGCCCACGGCGTGAAGTGTATCCTCCGGTCAACTGATGTCACAAGCAAGACTCAGGTGGAGGCTCTCGTCCAAGCAGCAAGTGAGGAGCTCGGTCCAGTCGACATCTTGGTTGCATGCGCTGGTGTCATGTACTTCACCATGATGGCAAACACACAGATGGACGAGTGGGAGCGCACAGTCGACGTCAATTGCAAGGGTCTCTTGCACGCTCTTTCTTCCACAGTTCCCGGCATGCTCTCGCGCGGCCGCGGCCATGTCGTCGCCATCTCCTCCGACGCTGGGCGTAAGGTCTTCCCTGGTCTAGGTGTGTACTCGGCCAGCAAGTTCTTCGTTGAGGCCACTCTCCAAGCCCTCCGCCTCGAGACTGCAGGTGCTGGCTTGCGCGTGACGAGCATCCAGCCCGGCAACACTTCTACAGACCTGCTGGGCATGTCGACGGATGCTGAAGCCATCAAAAAATTCGGAGAGCCATCCGGGGCGAAGATCCTCGATCCTTCTGATGTTGCCAACTCCATTGTTTACGCCTTGACGCAACCTGAACATGTCTCTGTCAATGAGATTCTTGTTGAGCCTCGCGACGAGCCGATTTAAGCGACATCGGCCATTTACCACTTATTTTATCGGAGTTTTGTATGATTTGCTCTGAAATATTTGTTACTCACTAGTTGTGATCTAGGGGTTTTGCTTTGATTCACACAAAAATAGACGGCCACATAGAGGTAGAAAGGACATATTGTATAGAGTATTGAATACTTGATTTCCACACGCGCTTTCCCCATGCATCTCAAACCCATATGCTCTCATTCCACAGCCTGATCAGCAAGGAACCACAACAACCGGGGCACATCATCAACCTCCGCATCCAAAGCAGCCGATGGCCCCGGTCGTTCATCGAACGCACCTTCAAACTACTCAGGCCAAAATCCCACGTATTCCCAATCAATAATAGCGGCTGTCTTCAACGCCCTAAAATCGACAACCACATAACGTTGCGACAAGTCATTGTGACAGAAACCATGCTCCCCTTCCTCACCTTCCCTCAACCCCCAGAAATCCTTCTCAGAAGCATCCAACGCCCGCCACGGTGCTTAAAGCTCTCCTGGTTTAGTTTCCAATCAGATACTCCTCCCATTCAAGCAAAAATCCGAAGAGGGTAGTTAGACAAGTAAAACCCAGGATCGTTAAACCGCAGACCCCTATCCAAACCCGAAATAGCCTCAATCTCCTCATCCGTCATATCAAATCCCAGCACATCCAAGTTCTCAGCAAGACGAGTCCGATCATTCGACTTGGGAATAACAGCAATACCCCTACACGTATCAATAATCAGCACCAAATCAACAACTAAAAACACTCAAACAGAATTCCAAAACTCACCGTTGCGTAGCCCACCTCAACAAAACCCTCGCAGCCGAAACACCATACTTCTCTGCAACAACCCTAACAGGCCCCGCCTCAAAAAGCAGCGGGATCCCCCGCGCCCTCTTCGAAAACGCCGGCGGCAACTCAACAAATGACTGAGGCCCGAAACTCGAGTATGCCGTCACGGCAATCCCATTCTCCTGCGCCATCTGGATAAGCTCAGACTGCACCAGGTAGGGGTGGTGCTCGACCTGCAGAGCGGAGATGGGATGACGCGCATACGTCTTTATATCGTATAGACTCTGCGCTTGGAAATTGCTCACGCCGATGCTGTGTGCGATCCCGCTGTCAACGAGTGTTTCCATTGCTTCCCAGGTTTCGCGGATCGGGACGTTGTCTGGGGTGACGGTGCCTGTGTCATCCATCCACCATGCCTGGGGAGTGTTTAGTTGGTTAGTAATGTTGTGGTTGACGCTGTGGGAAGTATTCGTATTTCTAATTGGGGATGAGGGATGAGGGATGAGGGTTGCTTACGGGATACTCTCTCACTGCCGGGTCGATGTACTTCAGCGCGCAGGGGAAGTGCATTAGGAATAGGTCAATGTATCCTAGACCCCAGGACTCATTTTGTTTCTTGGCCATTTCGATGGCATGTTCGTGGCGGTGGTAGTTGTTCCATAGCTTTGTTGTGATGAAGATTTTGGCACGGGTTACGAGGCCGTCGGCGATGGCGCGTTGGATGCCTTCGCCGGCTTCTTTTTCGTTTTGGTAGTCATATGCACCGTCGAATAGTCTGTATCCGGCTTTGATTGCCTATGGGATGTTGGTATTTTAGTGTGCATTTGGGGTGTGTTGGTCGTAGGGGTTTCTAAATGTACTAGTACTGACGTTGTATACTGTATCCGCAGCTGTCTCTTTGGGGACTTTCCATAGGCCGAAGCCTACGAGGGGCATTTCTTTGCCAGAGGCTAGGGTGGTTGACTTTGCCATTGTTGTGATTGTGCTTGTGGTTTGCTCTGCTTTTTTTTTAAGACTTTCCCTGCTCTTTAAATACTTTCAAACAGCTAATGATGCTGGTGGTTCTAATTGCCTATTTGAGATGTGGGTCTTGGTATTCCCAAAACGGCAATCGGGTGGCATCAGAGGCTCAACTTTGCGTGGAACCTTCCAAGGTTGGAAGCAGGTGGTTATCCTAGCCTTATTGTAAATTACAGCACAAGGGGGAAAAAAAAATAGTGCCATCGCGAAGAAACGATATCGTAACCACCGCCCAAATGTTTTAACGCCAAAAGCAAAAATGAGCTGAAGTCCGCCGTTGTACAACCGCAGACTCGAGCTCATTACCCATTCCACTTTAAACTTGATCTATAACTAGAGATGGTCGTGTTGTTTCAATGGGTAATCATATTGGAAATACGACCTGTTCTCTTTATGAATCCTTCTTCATTTCATCGCTTCATAAATCCTATATCGTACAATCTAAACCTCCTTGGTTCCGATTTTATCCCCAGACCCACTGTGACTACTATCGATACTAACAGTGTCATAGGTAGGATGCATCGACAATGGATGCAGCCCCTTATGTCGAATCTGCGAGCGCGGTGTAATAGCCACGGGAGTGTTCGCAGCAACAAAGGAGCGCTCCGAATGCCCATCATCAAACTGTGTTGTGAAAACCTCCTCAACCCCCTCAAGAGAACAACCCGCAGTCTCGGGATAGAACACCCAAACAAGCACCATCGCTACCCAATTAAACGCGGCAAAGCAATAGAAATAATTCGATCCGATATTCGTCAATGCTATAGGCGAGCACTGCGTGAAGATAAGACTAACACTCCAGTTCGTGGCAGTTGCCATGGACGAGCCGCGGGCTCGAAGAGGTGTAGGGAAGATCTCAGTCTGGTAGACCCAAGAGATCATTCCAAGAGCCGTGAAGAAGAATGAGAAAACAAAGAACATGGCAATGGCAGCTCGCAGAGCATGTGGGTTGGCGCTGGGGTTGCTGAAATCGATGTCCCGTACAAGTGTGGCTTCAATGCACAGGGCTGCTCCCATGCCCAGCAATGATGGGATGAGCAGTTTCCGACGCCCGACTTTGTCGATGAAGAGCATGATGACTGTATACCAGAACTGCGCTAGCGCCCCCCAGAGTCCGATTATCATGAGGGATGTTGATGCTGTAAAGCCGAGTGTTTGGAAGAGTCTTGGGCCGTAGTTTGAGATTATGTTTGTTCCTGAGCACTGGGTGAATACTTGCAGACCACAAGCTAAGAAGATTCTGTGTCGCCAGCGCGGGGAGATGAGAAGTTGGTGCCAGGATCGTATGGCGGATTCCTTTTCGGATGCTAGGCTCTCTTGAATTTGGAAGAGCTCGTGTTCGAGTAACTGGTTGTTGGTTGCACCTTGGTTGAGATGGAGTCGGGCGAGGACTGAGCGGCCTTCTACCTCTCTTCCCTTTTCAATGAGCCATCTTGGCGATTCGGGAAGGAGCCAGACGCCACAAGTCAGAATTATTGCTGGTGCGGCTTGAAAGGAGAGTGGGAAACGCCAGGAGAAGTCTCTACCTCGAAGGGAACAACCGTATCCCACCCATTGCTTGAAACCTGTCAGTTGGGTCATAGCAAGATCCCAGTGGTAATTACTCACAGCAACCACGAACCCCAAGCCAATCATCCATTGCTGCATACCAGCTAACATCCCCCGAGTCTGTGGCGGGGCAATTTCGCTCTGGGCTCACGTCAGATAAAGCTTAGCAGCGGGACCGTATGTCTACCTACACAATAAACGGGAATAGTGGCAGACATCTGCCCAATTGCCAGACCCGCAATGACTCGACCGATGATAAGCATCGCGATATTTACCGCGCCTCCCTGGAGGCCAGCACCCAGAGTGGCAAGAAAACCACCAATGAAGAGGGCCATTCGACGGCCATAGTAATCCGAAATATACGAAGCGAGAACCGAGCCCACAATTGCGCCTCCTGGTCACCAATATTAGATCCTGATCGTAACAAGATCCGACAAAAATAGAGTCTTACCGATATACGAGGAAATAATTCCCCCGGCGACGGCGTCAGACAGCGTTGGAGACCCGAATTGGCGCAGAAAGGCGTCCTGCTCGATACTGGAAGAGATCACGCCGGAATCATAGCCGAACAAGAATGATCCCAGCGCGGCAAAGGCGCAGCAGAAGGTGACGAAGTAGAAAGTCATAGTATGTGTCGCGTGGCTCCATAGCCTATGAAGATTGACATTAGAGGACGAGACGATCCCATATAAAGCCAAGCTAGAGAAAGTCGCGTTTGGCGTTGTTATACATGCCGATCCACCTTGGGGAAAGTGGGACGTGCCGCAGGGGCACTAATTGCAAATGGAATGTCATGTGGGATGCGAGGGATCTTCAGAATCGTCAAGGCTAAATTTACTAGAAGGGGATAGTCAATAGCCTAATTGACAGTTTGAATAATTATGACGCAGCTAACTTGGCGTACAATGTTATGTACATAAAGAGGCATTGATGAGGCATATCGTGAACCCGAACTTTGGGAGTCCGATTCGGATGGATTTTTCGTGGATAGGGTGATAGGTCATTTCAGTGTTTGCATTCCCCATGTCTCGCGTCACAGGGCTGTCAAAGCATTTTGACGCACGTTGCCTTGCTTCAAGGACTCTGCATGACAGACCCCTTTGTGATGGCGGCAGGTCGCAAAGGCATTCAGGGTCCAGGACTGTATGTTGTGTTCTCTGTACTTCGTAATTTGTACCGCAATGTTCCTATTTCAAGGGAACAAGAATAGAAACGGGAGTATCGTATCGTAGTGATGTGATGCCGCAATATTAGAAATAGAATTGAGCAATATATTAGTCTCTGTCCAGGTGATCATCTTTTTCTGTGCCGGGATACTCCGTACATGATGGTACTCCGTATGCAAGCCCTAGAGAAGGACTAATACAGATTAATAAGACTGGCTAAAGCTTGCCCAGGTGGTACGGAGTACTCCTTATAAGTTCTAAGAACCTATTAATAAGATCCCGCATGAGTCGTTCAATTTCAGACCCAAACCAATACAACACATAGGCCTGGAGTACATATACTTGAATTTCCTAATTGCATCAACTCTGCAACTAGTACTCCGTAGTAGTAATATAGTCCGTATGGAGTAGGAAGTCGGCGAATTCACCGAGTCTAGACAAATCGGGCAGTGGAGACGGGGCTAAAGCCTTAACAGCGAGTTAGTCGACTTCTGATTGGATGAAAATTCCAAAATCCCTGAAAGTCTCAAAAATGCCTCAGTCCAAAAGAGAAAAAAGGAAAAAGGGAAAATTCTGGAAAAAAAAGAAGGAAAAGAAGAAACAGAAAAAAAAAAAAAGACGCACCGAGACGGAAGTTAATGTATCGGCGTCGCGCATACTGAACCCCCGATATCCACCTGGGCGCCAGTCAAAAGGCGTATGACTCTTTATGACTAAACTGAAATTTGATGAAGTTGATCATTTCATTTTTCTCCAAGCCATACGTTGTTCTTTGTACTCCGTACCTTGATACCCGACCCCGAAGCCTTTTTGAGGTTCTTTTGATATTCTACACACCGCCCTCGGGAATAATCATTTCATCATCGTCTCCATTTCCCCTCAAGATCCTAAAGACCCTCAAGACCCTCAAGACTCTAAGATCTTAAGATGCTCAGACCCTTCAACTAGTATTTCAAAATTCTACTATTCTACTTTTCCCTGGGAACTTCCAATCGAACACTGTCAGACTTTGCACCAGTCTCCACTGTCTGTTTCCTCTTTGATTTTGCTTATCAATTCAAACAAGGCGATCCATGACATCTGGTGAGATAGTGATATTCACTTCGGATCGCCCGCCAAGGCCACCATTTGTCTTTACATGACTCCGTGCATTTTACGAACCTCAGATATCCAGTCATGGCGACTACGACGAGCCCTGTTTCTGGCGAGAATGAGGAGGATCCCGCGCCCATGAACGACTTCAAGTATTCGCATGATGACGATCATCATGACAGTCCTACCCATGATGCCTCCACCACAGACACCAAATCGCTACCTGCGCAGAAAAGGCGACGGGTCGGCCGCGCTTGCGACGAATGTCGCAGGAAAAAAATCAAGTGCGATGGCAAACAGCCATGCACCCATTGCACAGTCTATAGTTATGGTACGCAAAGCCCTATGCATTTAATCTCGGGGGAAAAGAAAGTTCATGTGCCCTAACAGTCGTTCTGTAGAGTGTTCATACGACCAACCTTCCAACCGTCGTCGAAATCCTGCCCCGCAATATGTCGAGGCCCTTGAAAATCGGCTCCAAAAAGCCGAAGCCCTCCTTCGAATTGTTCTCCCAAATGTCGACCTCGATGATCCGCAACTAGACGTACATGCGACAGCGGCTCAAAAATCGAAACAAGCGGCCGAAGATGCCAAACCGTCAATTGTACAAGACACAGGGCAAGAAGGGGCAGACGAGGGACTATTGGAAACCATGGTCGACAATTCGGGCTGCTTGGATCGGGATGACCAGGGCCATTGGGATTATCATGGGCACACCTCGGGCGTTCTCTTTGTTCGCCGGTTGCGCAAACAGCTGGGCGCCGCAGATATCTCGGGCCCCATGGCACGATCGCGCCCCTCGATAACAGCGCATATGCTGGATAGTCCGAAGTCTATGTCCGAATCGCCTCAAGACACAACATTACCTCCTACACATGACCTGCCTCCACGAGAGGTTGCGCGCCGCTTGTGTCACAATGCGATCGACCATGCCTGCTCGCTGATGAAATTTGTGCATGTACCCTCTTTTTTCGCAAGTCTGGATCGCATTTACGATATTCCCCCGGAACAATTCACGAACCAAGAGAACTCCTTCCTGCCGCTTTTATATATCGTCATCGCCGTTGGCTGCTTGTTCTCGGACGATGAATCGGGACAAGGCACCCTGGATTTGTCTGGCTACGAAGGCGCAATTGGCCAAGGGTAAGTCATAGTAAATCTGTAGTGGTCTATGCCACCGACTAATATCTTTGACAGGTTCCAATTCTTCAAGGCTGGTCGGCAACTGCTGGAGATCACCGACTGCCGTGACTTGGTTTCTCTGCAGGCAATTTGTTTCATGGTCCTCTTTCTCCAATCATCTGCGAAGCTGAGCACATGCTACTCATATGTGGGAATTGCACTTCGTTCAGCCCTGCGATTAGGTCTCCATCGCTCTGTTGCGGCAGACTTCAATCCCCTTGAACGAGAACTTCGAAAGCGCGTCTTCTGGGTCGTCCGCAAGATGGACATCTACGTGAGCACGCTCTTGGGACTTCCTCAAATGCTGAGTGACGACGATATCGATCAAGAGTACCCAATGGAGGTTGATGGTGATTACATTACTACGGAAGGAATCACTCAACCCCCGTCTAACTATACACCCTTGATGGCTGGATGCAATGCACACACTCGTCTTTCCAACATCATTCTGAAGGTGGTGAAATATATCTACCCCGTCAAGAATGCTCGCTATCGCTCCAAGTCAGACCAGCGGTACATGGTCAGCCACTCGAAAATTCGGGAGATCGAGCGAGATCTGCAAAATTGGATGGAGGAATTGCCTCCTGCTCTGCGACCGGGCACAGAAGTGTCGCCGCAGCTAGAACGGTAAGTCTCATGTCTACGGTGATAGTATACTGAGTCAATATGACTAACATTTAAATAGTGTCCGGCAACTGCTGCGTATAAGCTATGCCCATGTGCAGATGGTCATGTACCGCCCGTTCCTCCACTACGTGTCTGGTGGTTCTCAAGCGCGTGGCGTGGACAAGCGATCGTATGCCTGTGCGGCTGCCTGCGTCAGCGTTTCCCGAAACATTGTTCACATCACGACCGGAATGCAAAAGAGGGGACTGCTCAATGGATCCTTCTGGTTCACCATGTATACAACATATTTTGCTATACTCTCCTTGATCTTCTTCGTGCTTGAGAATCCGGATTCACCTACAGCCAAAGACGGTGTCCTGAAGGATGCCATGGAGGGCAAAAATACTCTAGCCGGATTGGCCAAGAAGAGTCTTGCTGCCGACCGGTGTTCCCAGAGCTTGAACGTAAGTACTCATGCGTTCGATTTGGAATGGCTTTGACTGATTATATTGTAGTGCCTTTTCAAGACATTGCCCGAGATGTTGAAAAATCGCCAGAGCTCAAAGACTCCTGTCAATCTCAAGCGGTCCGCGCCATCCAACACCGCAGACCCTGAACTGAAGCTTCAGCCTTCCTTCGAGAAAACGCTGCCACATCGGTCATGCACTTTCCCAGTGCAGATAATGTCCCAGACTCCTGTTAGCAATGACCAGAACCGCCGACAACGAAGTCTAGACAATGTCCTGCCTGTCAGCAATCGATCTACTGACATTAATAATCAGTCCACTTGGATTTCAAATGCGCCCGAGCTGCTGACGGAAACCATGACCACCCCGGAGCATATTTCCTCATCAGGCATAACACCCTCTATGTCCGCTCAAGAGCCATCAAGTCTAGCATGGGCTCAGCAATTCACCAATCCATCCAACCTCCCAGATCTCATGCCAATGATGTTCCCATCAGATGATCCATTCGCATACCCAACACAACCCATGTCTACCTTGGAAGATGATCACTTCCGGCACGACGCTTCAGGCATGCCATCCAAGTATCCCTTCGATTCAGCACCAGGAATGGGACCCGCCACACCGGGCGAACCCTCCAGTGCAGGGGTCTCCACTCCAACCTTTGACTTCACAAACCTCCCGAATTACCCCATAGCAAATCCTTCAGGGATCAAGTCATCTGTTCCAAGCCACCTTCGCCCTTCCCACTCCCGAACCTCGTCCCGCGTCCACTCCCCAATCTCGCAGAGCCAAACGCCGTCAGAGGTGATCAGCAGTCCAGACCTGGTCTCAATCCCGAACCAGAATTTCGTCTGGCAGGGCTACAATTTCCAACCCAACAATCCGAACGACATCGGAACTGAGTCCGCACCACAACAGCCAGAGATTCCCGGTCCAAATGGATTGCCTGATTTTAGCATGGGCATGGATGAGAGTATGGGCATGAATATGGATCTGGGGATCTCCTTTGATGATCTGTTTGGCAATGATGCCGCATATCGACCGAGCAATGGGGCATCTGCTGAGGATTGGGCTCAGTGGATGAATGCCAACAGCATTTGACCTTGATCTGGTTTGCCGTATTTGTTTGATCTGCTTTTTACGAGGATATGCTACCATGAAAGCCAAAATCTTGGTGTAAAAACTATTGATACCTGGTTGGAGTTAGGGGTCTCGCTTTTCTTTTTCACTTAGCTGTGCATAAATATATATACCAGATGTCTATATCATTTGATGTCTTCTTTCTTTTCGAAGGTCGATCACTTGATTCAATGGAAGTCAGCGAGGTGAGTGCGCCATTTTGGGCGGTTGTTATGTGCTTGGTATAGTTGGATCAAGTACTAGATCAACCCTTTTCCGATAGCCTTTGCAGATGCCTACACACCTCCCTCCTTCCTCCCCAACCAGCTCTCAAATCCTAAGACTTTCCTCCTCAATATTGCGATTCTGCACCTCGACGTGTCAAAAGGCCGACAAGCTCGCCTCGGCATGTCTTCTGAGATCGTGAAATCCGCATGGGAAGTAATCCCGATGTTTCAATCACGCTCTATCCCTCGCACAATTCAATTCTACACCGAGAAATTGGGGTTCGAACTTGCCAGCGTAAACCCCGAGGAAGGCTCATCCGAGCAGACATTTTGCTCCTTATTCAGTGGCAGAAAGGCAGACGCCAACTTCTACTTCTCAAAAGCAACAACTGGGGATTTCACCCCGTCACAGGCGATGATTGCCCTAGGGACATCGCAGTTGGATGAGTATTACGATTATCTGAGGCCTCTCGATGATGTTGATATGGCGGAAGATGCCAAGGATACACCGTAGGGGTATAGGCAGTTCACAATCAAGTATAATGATGGGAACCTCTTAACCTTTTTCAAATTTTTAGAGGGCGGCAATCCGGGGCAAAGCTGGGGGGATTCTCGAGTGGTTGTCACATCTCATGGCCTATATGGTCATAGATGCCCCCGTGCTAGTATCATACACTGTTAGCCGTATATCACCTTCTCTTTGTGCCGGCCATTGCGCCTAAGGTCCAGGCTGTGGTCGAGGATACGTCGCGTGGCTCACCGACAGGCTCATCGACAAAGGACCTCGAGGGATGGCTGACTATCCATCGTGTGCGCACGTGGACGGTTGATCTGGCTTCGTTTGTTTTGCGATTGGAATGTCGATTATTCAGTGAAGTATGCCAAAGGGTGGAACCGAGAAAATGAACATGGATGAGTATAGACCATGCATATCAACAAATCGAATCAGTACATTTTGACGAATAAGTGACTCCTGCATCCTCCCATCCCAAACATCTTAACTCCGTATAGCTATAGATGTAGCTATTTTGCTAAATGGCACGTATGAGATATACACTCTAGTAATGATAGGCAAGAATAGGTATGCCAAATGTTCCAATGAAGTCATACTCATCTTAGCTTCGGGTTAGCCCACAATCTGTTCGACCCACATACTTCGACATTTCCAACAACGTCCAGAACCTCTCCTTCGATGGCCCTACACTACAACACCCATTCTTGATCATATTTCTCTTCCATTGCCTATGGACCATCATCTATACCCAGAGACGGATCAATTGTAGCTTCCGCAAGCTTCCGCCCCGGTCGCATGGAGAGCTAATAATCCAAATCTCCCCTTGTACATTTACTTGGCTACATATCCCCGTGACTATTTATAGCCAACCCAATGGCATCACTTCCAAAGTTTTCTACCGTCTTTACCTGGGCCCTCTACTTGATCCCGGTGTATATCTTCATCCTCGACCCACTACTGCGCGGATTCTTCCCGAGCCTGCTGGCACCACGCGAAGACATCGACGACCTCTTTGACGAGTCCGACGCACCAGGACCAGGCATCAACCTCACCGACGACAGCTTCATCAGCCCCGAAGATGGCGTACCATTCAACTGCCCCAGCACAGAGGGGTACCGCGTGCATCTCCTCTCGCGCGAACCGCTAATAATATATATCGAGAACTTCATCTCAGAAACCGAAGCAAACCACATCCTGGACATGAGGTAAACCACCAATCTCAAACCGTAACCCCCATGACACACGGATATATACCACAACACACCCACAAGATAACCACAGACCAAGCTAACCGGACAAACCTCCCCCGAATCCCAGCGTGAGCAAATACACACCTTCAATCGTCTACGACGGCCAAACCGAACGAGTAGACCCAACCAAACGCCTCTCCGACCGTGCCCTTCTCGACCGCGACGACACAATCCGCTGTCTGGAAGACCGTGCCCGCGCCTTCCAGGGCTGGCGTCCGGACCTGTACATCGAGCGCATGTGGGCGCAGCGCTACAATGCTTCCGGCCACTACCGCCATCACTATGACTGGGCCGGGTCGCTGGCGCGGGGTGGGGACCGTTTTAGCACATTTATGGTGTATCTCGATGCGGACTGTGAGGGTGGGGGGACGAATTTTCCACGGTTGAGGATGCCTGATGGGGAGGGGTGGTGCCGGTTCCTGGAGTGTGAGCAGCGGGATAGGGAAGGGAAGGGGAAGGAGGGGGGTATGGGTATCACATTCAAGCCTATCAAGGGTAATGCAGTCTTCTGGGAGAACCTTCGGCCGGATGGGACAGGGTATCCGGAGACTTGGCACGCTGCGTTCCCTGTCACGAAGGGAACGAAGGTTGGGTTGAATGTTTGGAGTTGGTACCAGCCAAAGCGGAGGAACCGCTCGGGAAGGTGAGATGGCACTTGCGCAGAGAGAAGATTTGCACGTGGGTGATTTGGGTTCGGCTGGCTAAGCCACTGGCCAAGCCATGTTCCAAGGAGTAACTGGAATGCTTGGGCGAGGCCCTTGTGAAGACCTTGTGAATACCTCGGGATGACAAGCTTAGTAAGTATATTTGTATATCATCTGGACAGGGGGCCTGACATGTCCCAAGGTCAGGCCGAAATGTTACAAATAGAATAGAGTTAGATATCAACTCTAGCATATAGAACACATGTGGTTACATGTAAAAATATCTCCCAGGTGTCTCCAGTGTGGAATCCGAAACCGACCGATGCATGCCGGCCGTAACAAGGGCACTAGGCAGCCGGATTAAATCAGAGGACTTGTCACACCCGGACAAAGTTTATACAAAAGGGATATGAATTTGGTCATACCAAGACTCCAAGACTCCAAGACTTGAGTCTTGGTGCCCGGAGCGGGAATTATTGGCAAGAGGAATCACTTGGCTGCCAAGAAGCAATGCCCATGGGATGTTTCTTGGAAGGCTGGCTTGGCGAAACGCATACGCCACTCCTCGTTTCATTCTCAGCTTCATTTACTTTCTCTTGGGAACCTTTGAGCCCGTAAGTGGTAAGTTGGTAAATTTTTACCCTTGAATTTACGGTGTGTTTGCACTAAACTGATTTAGGGTAAACGGAAGTATTTAAAACCGCCTATAAGATACATACATAAAGTAGGTTATAGGCCAGTTATGTACGGAGTTTCATATATTAAAACTTTAGGAATTATATTAAAATACATGTATAGTGTATGTTATATATTATTGTATGCTGTAACTTCGTACTTCGTACCGTACTGTACCCTACTGTGCTACGTGTTAGCTGTGGAATGCTCACAGCCCCTCGTTCCTTCCCCCCTTCGGTCCACCAGTCAAAAGCCATGGCGCCAACGCCTCTCGTTTCTTGGGGCCCGCACCGACTCTTGGCCCGGTCTTGGTCTTCTGGTTTCTCTCCTTGTCCTTCCGCCAGGCTTAGCAAAGCGGTATTTTCTGGGCAAAGGCTCGGCTCCTTTTCCTCTTCTTGCGGAGAAACCCCCCCATTTTCTCTCTCACTCTTTCCCCTTTTCCTTCTTGCCCACATTGTATACATATAGGGTATTTCTTCTCTATAATTGTTTGATCTTCTTAGTTTGATCTCTTTTTGATCTCTTTGGTTCTCTAGGCTTTCCGCCACCTCCAGATCAAGTATTCTTGGCATCATGACGGAAAATCATACCCCTTCTACTACGGCGACCTTGCCTGCGCCTGTTTCTGAACCGGCACCGATTCAAGCAACCCCAACTCCATCCGCTTCAGTTACAGCGACTGCCGCCGCCGCCACCGCGGCAGTGAACAGCCCGTCCATGAACGGCGCCGGTGAGCAGTTGCCTTGCCAGTGGGTTGGATGCACTGAGAAGTCTCCTACGGCCGAGTCTCTATATGTAAGATCGATCAATCAATTTCAATCCGAAAAGAGATGCTAATAATGACCGTTTAGGAGCATGTTTGTGAGCGTCACGTTGGGCGCAAAAGCACCAACAACCTCAACCTGACCTGTCAGTGGGGCACTTGCAACACCACAACAGTCAAACGTGACCATATCACCTCCCACATCCGCGTTCATGTACCACTTAAGCCTCACAAGTGCGACTTCTGCGGCAAGGCTTTCAAGCGTCCCCAGGATTTGAAGAAGCATGTCAAGACTCATGCGGACGACTCCGAGATCCGCTCCCCCGAACCCGGCATGAAGCATCCTGATATGATGTTCCCCCAAAACCCTAAGGGTTATGCTGCTGCCACACATTACTTCGAGAGCCCTATTAATGGTATCAATGGCCAATATTCACACGCGCCGCCTCCGCAGTACTACCAACCACACCCCCCACCTCAGGCTCCTAACCCGCACTCCTACGGCAATGTATACTATGCCCTGAGTCAGGGGCAAGAGGGAGGCCACCCCTATGATCGTAAGCGCGGATATGATGCGTTGAACGAGTTTTTTGGCGACCTGAAGCGCCGCCAGTTCGACCCTAATTCCTATGCCGCGGTCGGCCAACGCCTGCTTGGTCTGCAGGCCCTTCAACTTCCCTTCCTCAATGGCCCCGTGCCTGAATATCAGCAAATGCCTGCCTCTGTTGCGGTCGGCGGCGGCGGTGGTTACAGCCCTGCTGGTTCTCAGCCTCCTGGTTACCACCTTCCCCCTATGTCAAATGTTCGTACTAAGAACGATTTGATCAATATCGATCAGTTTCTCGAGCAAATGCAGAACACCATTTACGAAAGCGATGAGAATGTCGCGGCTGCCGGTGTTGCCCAGCCCGGCGCGCATTACGTGCATGGTGGCATGAACTATCGCGCCACCCACTCTCCCCCAACCCAACTCCCGCCAAGCCACGTTACCGCAACCACCTCAACCCCCATGGGAGCTGCTTCGGCCCACTCCCCCTCGGTCGGCACCCCAGCTCTGACCCCGCCTTCCAGCGCACAGTCATACACCTCTAACCGCTCTCCTATCTCCATGCACCACGCTCACCGCGTGTCTCCTCCCCATGAGAGCGGCCCGGGCATGTACCCTCGCTTGCCGTCGGCCACTGTCGCCGACAGCATGTCCGCAGGCTACCCGACCGCCTCAGGTGCCGCACCACCCTCTACTCTGAGTGGCGCGTATGACCACGACGATCGTCGCCGCTACACTGGTGGTACCTTGCAACGCGCCCGGCCGGCCGAGCGTGCTGCCACCGAGGACCGCATGGATATCTCCCAGGATAGCAAGCATGATGGCGAGCGCACTCCCACCAAGGCTGTTCACATCTCCGAGAGCCTGATTGACCCCGCTCTGTCGGGTACTTCGTCTGATCCCGACCAGGAGGCAGTCAAGCGTACTGCGCAAGCGGCCACCGAAGTCGCCGAGCGAGATGTCAATGTTGCCTGGGTTGAGAAGGTCCGTCTGCTCGAGAACCTGCGTCGCTTGGTTTCTGAATTGCTCGAGGCCGGTACTGCTGAATATGGAGTGCAGACCTCCTCGGCTTCTCCTACTCCAGGACTTGATGCCATGGAGGGAGTCGAAACTGCCAGTCGTGCTGCTTCTGAACAGCCAAGAGAAGAGGCCAAGTCTCCAAGTGAGGGAGTCTTTTATCCCACATTACGTGGTGTGGATGAGGATGAGGATGGGGACTCCAAAATGCCCGAGTAAATTCTTCATCTCTTTCTACCTTTGGCCATAGCTTGATTCACGCCCGTGACGACATTTGTTTATCGCCTCTTTTCCCGCTCTACACCCCCTTTTCTACAAGGTCTTTGTTCGTTTAAGGCTGTTTTTATTTTATTCTATTTTTTCAATGGAGAAAGTTTCCATTCCTTTCTGGTACTTTTCAGGTGCTTTCGTCTTAAGTTGTTTCCTGTTTGTATGACTATTAGGGCTCCATGGAACTATTTGAACTATCTAAACTATCTGAACTATCTGAACTATCTGAACTATCTGAACTATCTGAACTTGTTTGTTTACGTAAAGTGTTGTTTGCGTCTTTGACACCTTTCCATCTGTAGAACCTTGGAAGATTGGAAGATCGAATGCGATGTTACCTTCTGTCCTTTAGATCGACATGTCAAACCCAAAAAGGCAAAGCAACATTCCGGGCTAAACCAGATCCGGGGAGTGACGCAAACGGGCAGATCTTATTTTTTGATCAAATCTGGGGATTTGTGTACAAAGTATGCGCATGCATGTAGTAGATAAATCAAACTTAAGATAAGTGTTATACATGGCTATATACATATTAAGAACAATAAAGATAAAAGAAATACATACGTAGGACATAGCTACATGTACTCCGTAATGATAGAAACAATCAACAGCGAACATCTGCATCTGGATATGTTGGAGTTCCACTCTCTGCACTCGGAAGCATCCCCAATCCCACTCTGAGCACGTGCTGGTATTGGTATTTCACTCCTGCCTCCGCCTATCAGTGAACTTTCCCTGTATGTATACGCCGTTATGACCAACTCCACCACTCTGTTTACGGTCACATCCCAATCGCACTTCATTTTCATTTTTTTTTCTTACTTGTACACTTTGTTTTCTCTTCTATTTGTCTTTCCTATATTCTCTCTCTCTCCCCCTTTCTCTTCTTTATCCTCTTCTATATTTTCCTTTTTTGTTGTGTTATATACACGTTCTCCACGCGACAAGGCGGTCACCCCCCCCCCAAACAGACGCCATTGCGCGTGTCGATCGGCCTAGGGATTATCGATAATAACATCCAGCCACACAATATCAACCTTTCGATTGGGGGAGTTTTTGTTAAAAAAAAAGATATCCAGCCTTTTAGTCTTGCTTACAGACCAAGGCTCTTTTTTGTTTCTTTTTTCTATTCCTTTCTTCCGTGGTGGCAAACCCATGCTCTGACGTTCTTCGTTCTCTGGTTCTACCATCTGAACGGTCTTCCGATTCTGGGGGCGCTGAAATCCGAATCCAACCCTGGAAGAGCTGACTATTATTATTTTTTTGAAAAAAAAATCTGTGTTTTTGCCATCGGCTTTCATATTTCCTCTCTAGTGCCCCGCGTTTGTTTGTGGAGTACTTCGACTCGGACTTGATTGCCTACGCAACCGGAAGAAAAAAAAATACTCATTTACGAACCGACTTCGCCAATACATCATACCGGAAAGAAGGAAGAGCGAATACCATAAAGATATGCCGCTCACAAACCGCCGCCGCGCGCGGCGCAAGGAAATTCAACTGCAAGAAACGTCCGATGCAGAGGCTCCGGACTCATCGCCTAGCCGGCCATCCGCAAAGAAGCGCAAGGTGAGTTAAAACAACAGAGCGTTTATTCTGAAACCAAATATATCCCTGCGCAAACAGGAGCTAAGACACGTTTTCATCTGATTAGGTTGACCGCCGCACCTCCCCTCCCCCGAACGTCAAACATGAGTCCGGCGACGAAGCCGAAGACTCAGCGGGCGAACACGAACCCGCCACCAATCAAGACCTGGTCGATTTAGTTATCTCATACTTGAACACACCACGCGAGGAATTGCGCGTCTCGCGCGACCACTCCAACACCAAGACCGAGAATACCCAGCGCATCCAGGCTTATGCTAAGATCGCCGGCCGCAACTGGACCTATTACGTCAAAACCCTACATGTCAATATCGGCCGTGAACCGGACCGCGAACAACGGGCCGTCGAACAGTCCAGCCCCGTTACAATTGCGGCTCGTGCGCTGCCAGATGTTCATGTCGACTTGGGCCCCAGCAAATTCGTGTCGAGACTACATGCCGAGATCTTTTATGATGGCGAGGAGACACCTGCTTGGCACATCCGTGTCAATGGCCGGAATGGTGTGCGCTTGAACAATGGTATAATAAAGCGCGGCACCGATGCGATTCTTTCATGTGGCGACATCATCGAGGTGGCCAATACACAAATGATGTTCGTTACGCCCGGTGACGAGGCCAATATTCAGCCCAGCTTTATCGAGCGCGCCCAGCGCATTGCGAGCGGACAGGAGCCCGATCCGGCTTTGGTTTCCTGGGATGCTTCGCAGCATGCCCATCCTCAGCAATCCCAGAACGACGAGGCTGCGCCACCATCTTCGTCTGGTGGGCCGTCGTTGGCGCCTGCTCCGAAGTTCCTCAAGCGCCAGGTGACGCCCCCGCCGCGGTCGCCTGATACCGCTGGCCAGCGGACGGCTAAACAGTCCCCGCTTTACAACCGAGGCATGATGATGGAGAGCACGGAGGAGATCGATTACAGCAAGGATGCCTCCAAGGACCTCAAGCCGCCGTACAGCTATGCGACTCTCATTGCTCAGGCTATTTTCTCCAGCGAGGAGGAGAAGCTCACGTTGAACAGCATCTACAATTGGATCATGGATAAATACGCTTTCTATCGACACTCCCAAAGTGGCTGGCAGAACTCTATTCGCCACAATCTCTCGCTAAACAAGGCGTTCCAGAAAGTTCCCCGTCGGACCGACGAGCCGGGCAAGGGTATGAAGTGGCAGATCGCAGTGGAATATCGGGAAGAGTACCGGAAGAAGCAAACACGCAAGGGCGGCACGCAGTCATCTGCCCCGTCCTCGCCGGCGACGAAAGAGCCCCCGTCATCAGCACGCGGGACCAACGTTAGTAAACTCGACACCTCGTTCTCAACAAGCGCGAAAAAGTCACCACCCGTTTCATCCCCGGGCTTCAGCTCATTCCCCGTAGCTCCGGTGGAAGCATACACACCAGAGCGTGGTTCCCGACTGGGTCGAGGCCTCGGCTCCGACCACCCACTACGACACATGAACCCACGCGACTACGACGAACCCTCGCCGCTCCCAGCGCGCTCGCACAACCCCAATTCTAGCATCTCCACTCAGGTGCAAAACAGCAGCAACAATCTTGCCCGCGCGTACGGAATGTCCGACAACGTAGCCGGATCCCCGCCAGTTCTCTCCTCGTCCTACTACAACGAAGAACCCTCTTCAATGATCACACCCGCCCCACAACGCCAACAACCCCGTCTCCCACCCCCAAGCACAGCGCAGATTCCGTCGAAGTTCATGCCCATGAGCTCGCCCGCGCAGTTCTGGAAGTTCGCTGATATCGGGAGTACCCCTGCCCGTCCGCCGCCGGACATGAGTCCCTTGAAGGGCGAGGTCGAGGACCGCATTATCGGCGGGTTCCCGAGTAGTTCTCCCCCGCCGCCGAATCTCGTTAGTCCCAGCAAACCTGGGACGTCGAATGGGCTTGGCTCGAGTCGGACTCTGCCACCGCTCCAGTCGGATTCGGGGGATATGGGACCTAGTGGGAAATCTCATGCGAGAAATGAAGAGCGGGACGAGGAGGAAGATGATAATGGGTCGGGGTTTGATCTTGCTAGGTACGTTTCGTTTGCTACACTGTTTTTTTTTTGATCCAATTGGCGCGCAGGAACTAACATTATTTTTAGGGGGTTTGAACCTATTGGCTCATACCATCGACAACTAGGTAACGCTGCCCGTGCGGCTGCTACTTAATGTTGACTCCGATGGTTGGTGCAGACTGTCTATCTTGTGATGTACAACATGTCCGCTTTACAGACTGTCCATGTGTTTTACTATTTGCTTCATGCTTCATGCTTCCGCATTACGAATGGTGTTGGTCGGTTTGGTCATTTTCATTGTTTTTGAAGGTTTGCTCGATGACATTGTCATTATTTTGGGAACAGAGATCAGGGATCGGAGTTTGATTTGATATTACTCTCGGGGAGGATTGTGGATGGCGTTTGTTTTTGTCTGCTTTCTTGCTTTTACTAGTCATCCCGTTCTAGGCGGCCTTGTATGTATGGGCTTCGGGTCAGATGTATGATATCGTACAATATTTTTCCACTACAAAGAATATGCATGGTATGCACAGTAGACCGTAGCGACATTTAAAAGTTAATCTAGAGTTAATCTAGAGTTGATCTAGAGTTGATCAGATAACCATCATTCAGCAACCGACGGCCAAAAATTCTCCTCCAACCAAACAATCTGCCTCCACCACTCCAAACACCTTCCCCGCGTAATCTCCAACTCCTCCGCCCCCTTAATCTGCCCCGCCATCTCATCAACAACATCCCCAATCCGATCAACAAACCCTTCAAACTCAACACTCGCCCAATTCTCAATAAACTTCTCCCTCAACGCACCCCCGTCAGCATCCTTCTTATAATCCCTCTCCCCATCCTCCCGCATACACCCTGCCGCAAACCTCCAAGACTTCAAATAACAAACCTCCGTAGCCCACAACACCGCCAACCCCTCCAAAATAGAAACCCCACTACTCCCAGCAGACATAAACATATCAATATAAGCCCTAGTCGTCCGATTCGCACAGAAGAAAATAGTCCCGCACCGCTCCCCACCCTGCACATCAACCTTCCCCCCAACATCCCCACCCACAGCAGGCTCCACGCCCCGTCCAGTCTCATTGAACTGCGGTCCAGGCGCACAAACCTCGCCCCCGGACGGCATCTGACACTCCCCCTGACTCAAACACAGACCGTGGCCAGGCGCGCTGGGTTTCTCATCAGTGGACGCAAGACACGCGCCGCCAGTGCCATTCCCATTCCCATTCCCTAGCAGCCCTTCGCCCTCGCCGCCCGTGAAACCGGGACAACTTCCGGAGCCGGTGGTGGAGATTCCAACGGAGGTAGTGATATCCGAGCCCAGCCCGCAGGATGTGAGTGTGCAGCTACCTTCTTCAGCGGAGATAGCGGTTAGGTCGAGGCCGTAGTCATTTGCAGTTTTTTCGAAGAAGGCGAGTTCTGTGCGGATGTTGACGAGGGCGTCGATGAGGACGGTTACGGCGTTTTGTTCTGGGCCTGCTGATGTTGGGTTTTGGGCTGGGAGGCGGATTTTTGAGAGGAGGAGGCCGATGAAGCGTATGTAGGATTGGGCGTAGAGTCGGTCTTGCGAGAGCCATTGGCTTAGTTGGGATTTTGGGAGGGTGCCGCGGCCGGCGGAGGAGAGGAAGGGGTGGGTTGTTGCGCGCTTCAGCGCATTGGGGGTACTTGATAGCAGGTAGGCGGTTAGGGGGCCTCGACTTGTCATTTTGTTTGGGTCTTTTGAGGTAGTTGTTTGAGGTTGTTGGTGTTGGAAGGGGGGGGGGGGGGGAGATCGGAGATTAAAATTGCGGGACAGGGCGATAGTGGGATGAACATGATAAACTATGTCGTCAGTGAGACATAAACATCCAGGGTATGTCAATTCCATAGTCACTTCTCACAGTCGCATGTATACATTACTTAGAACGAGAAAAGATCCAATATTAATTTAGCGGAGGTTTCATTCAGCTCAGATTGTAGAAAGCTAGAACTAGCATACACGTTCCCCTTGTTTTTTTTTTAAAGAATTTTCTCACATTTTGATCTCACGCATTCTCTGTTCAAATTGACACCTCACTGGACCGATTCATCCTTTCAAGGGCATCCGGCGAGGTATGTTCAAACGATTCTCAAACTGACTTTGCGGTTTCAGTCACTCCGTCACTTCCACTTTCGTGATTTGACAATCGTTGCAGTTGGACGTCAGTCTTAATGACTCCAAACGGGGACTTCGTCAGTGTCGTCGTAAGGTCCTTCACCCATTGCAGCCATGGATTCAAACGTGGCACCGTCGCGCTTATCCTTACGTTCATCCTTGGGATCGACCGTGACCGGGAGCTTATCCTTACGTTCGTCGCTGGACTTAACGTTAAGCTCCTTGTCACCAACTTCAGCGCTTTCGTATCCCCACGGCTTCTCCCCAGCTACTCTCAGCATCAATCGAATAAGAGCGTGCAAGGTGTAGTATGCATCATTTCCGGCATTGTGCAAGTCGGGACTCAAAATATTCAGCAAGCCTAGCAGTGCTTGAAGACCTCGTGGCTGGGTCTCCCCAGTAGCAGCACAGTACAGCTCTGCCACGTCGATCGTCTCATGAATGACCGAAGAGGGTTCGTGTAGATTGACAAAAATCTGGCTTTTCGCTCTCTGGAGTTGCATGATGTCACCATGGAGGTCGAGACCAACCAAGATCACAGTGCGCTTCCGATTCTTGTGTGAGGCGATCTTATTTTCTCCCTTAGACTGAACCTGGTATGCGGGGATCTTTTCTTCCTTCGGGGGAACCATGTATGGGGGATAAAATGCAGTGTCCACAACGTTTGGAATTTGGGCGTGTGGAATTAGCTCACTCTCGCCGAATCGGAAGCTACCAGGACATCCAGAAGTGTGAGTGTTGTTGACCCAGTTTCGGTACTCCTTCACACGCAGGTGGCGGGATCGAATTAGTTTCAACCACTTCTCTCCATAATCACCAGGAGCCACACCATCCAAGTCCAACATATCCAGGGTAGAAATTCCGACCTCAGTCAGGGAGCCCATAGCGCCGTAACGGTCCATCCACTCGAGATCAATGCTGATGAAAATGGGGGCATTTTGAAAGGCCCAATTGACAGGTTGCAAAGCATCAATCGCTTGGATCTGACCATTGGCAAACGACGGCTGTGGAACATTCGGCTGCAATGCAGGACGCAGCCCAAAGTAGGCTTGCACACGACCTAGGCACTCCTGCCACTTCTTCATTCGGGCATCTCGGGCCGCCTGCTTGTGGGTGTTCTTCTTGGTCTTGACTGTGGCGATGGACTGCTTGATTTTCTTTTCAAATTCCTCGAAAACATGAGGCTCAACCAGCTGTACCCAGGGTCCCCAGTTCTCCAAAGGCGAGGGAACCTTACTCTCCAACTTCATCTTCCGATCACGAGTGCTGCTGCGGCCAAGGTACACAGGTGCCGGCAGTTTTTCATTGTCGATTTGAATAACGAGGCCTTCTTTGCCAACGCCCGTGAGAGTCAAATTGAGGTCCAGGGCCGAATTGATTTCATCGAGCAGTGCTTGAGCTTGGAAAGTGGGAATCAAAAGAAACGTGGTTTGGGAGATAAACCGTGGAACAGACAGAGAATACCTGGGTGAGTATTAGCGACGATATACTTTGCTAATTAATTTTAGAATTAACACACAGGTCCCAAGTTCGGTTCCAGAACTTATCGCCCTCATAAAACCGCTCATTAACTTTCTTGGCATTCTCTCCATGGAGGTATCTGAAAGGGAAGCGGGCCATTGCGACGGCCGGAGTGAACGACTTGGAAACTGGGATCGCAGTGACCAGCTCCTCGTCGGAATCCGTGTCAAAAATATCGCCGTCACCACGCTCATATTTGAGCAAGCCAGAGAGATCAAGGCGCATCTTCGGAGTATGGCGGTGGCGGCCATCCTGCTTGATCTGAGTCAAAAGCTTGTCTTCCGGCTCAGGTAGCTGTCCAACCACATGGGTACGAATGTACGACAAAGGGAATTGACCACCTGCGGGGTACTTCATGCCATCTTCCGGCTTAAAATCAACTGGGAGAGCGTAGTCACTTACGCCTTGATCAGCTTTGTCGGACTCGGCAGGGTCGGCTCCATCCGCAGCTGGGGCAGGTCGGGCGGCTTGGGCCTGGTTCAACTCGGTATTCAGATCTTTGAGACCCGGGTCTCCTTCGAGGAGCATCCTCAGACGCTCGCGAACATCCATTTTGAAACCTCGAGATAAAGCTTCAGTGAAATCTAGAGGTGTGAGATGAAGAGCAGACGCAGAGGAAGTGAGACAGATAAAAAGAATATAAACAAACGCGGGTGGACGCGCACGCTGAGCCTTTGGGATTAGAATTGCTCAATTAAGAAGGAACGGTTGGTTAAGGAAGGAGCGATGGGAATAGGGAAAGAACGATGTACACTGGGAAAGTAGTAGGAAAATCCGTGTGGTTCCTTAACAAGGAAACTACCTACATGTAGTTACTATCATGAGGTGAGTATGTACATGTATGTATACATAGCTTGTAGTGAAGTACATTAAAGAGCTCAATATGTTCCTCTTATTGTTCGTTTCGTTCTCTTTCTTCATGCAGGTGATATTGTCTGATAGTTGACAAGGGTATCAGTATGGAATAGCTTCATTGATCGGTAGCTTTTCTGGCTTTCTCTGATAGAGAAATAAATAGCACCTTAGTTTGGCTTTGAAAAGTCAGCGAAATTGAAACGACTTTTAAATAAAAAAACCGAGGCTGAGTATAGATACGTACAAATCGACTATCGAACGTAAAACCACAAATGCAGTACCTAAACCATGGATAGTACTATATAAAGGATTGGGACAAAGAAATTATTCGTCACACCGAGGTTCTTGTAAAGTCAAGCTGCTCATACTACTCACTGAATACACGACAATTTATGAGGTGGACAGATATATTTTTGATTTACAAATTTATAGCCCGAAATCGCTGTAGTAGCGCCCTATTTCTGAGACTCTAACTTTCTCGCCTATAGCAAACTTTTATATTTCTATACAAGCTTCAGAATCGACTGGTTTTCACCTGAAGGGAAAGGGCTGGAGTCGCCTACTCTTGGAGACCTTCAGAGAGGTGGAGCTTCTTAGAGATACCCGTGAGGATCTAGTTAGTGACCTTAGAAGCTAACGTATTTCCCGGGCTGCGAACGGGCATGACGGCCAATGTCCCAGTGCACTTTTTGACCTAGTTGATACCTGAATGATGCCTGATTCTAGACCGCTCTATACAATGTATTGTAAATGAAGCTATCCATGGATGTTTGCTCTATCCTAGCTCGACCAATGAGAGGGTACCAGGTTTCAAAGTATCGCGTTTCAATGAAACTGAAGCTATTCCTACCATCATTTTCATCACTTTCATAATATCCGTCATCGTCATCGCCCCGAAGCTATTCCCATCTCCGACCATCGTCGTGATACACAAAATGCCAGCCTATATCGACCTAGTGATAAAGGTGAAGAGTGGAGGAGAGAAGAAACGTATTCATCGCCAGGTGCGGGGGGTGCATGATATTTTGTATAGTGGGAATAACTTCGTTTTAACTGAGGCACTTTGAGTATGTTGCTTAACAAGACACCTGTTATTGTGATTCAGATATTTTAATTTCTGCTTGTTTAAAATATGGCACGAATAAGGCATTTTCAGGCATCAACTAGGTCAAAAAGTGCATTGGGACATTGGCCGTTATGTCCCTTCGCAACTAGATTGTATTGGAACTTGTTTACTATGTTCAATTTGAATTGATCACATATAATTGAAAAGCTTCAATATTGCGGATCCGAGGCATTGTACTCCCAGTTCTTATCGTAAATCCCCATATTTTCGAATTCTCCCCCAGGAACATTAGGTCGTTCGAAAGAAGGCTCAAATGCATCCCTTTGGGTTCCAATTCTCCATGGAATGTCCAGCGGCGTTCGTTCAAAGAATGGATTTTGTCCCTCTCCATAGAGATATTCTTGCACCTGCTTTTCAAGCCAAACTGCACGGCCAATCTGTGGATTCTGCAGCTTCAGCCCAATCGAAATAGCTGGTTGCGAGCGCCCATCTCTGACCGCCCATAGTGTATTTTCGCGTATCATTGTGCGCATCTCTTTAAGCAAACCATGCCAATCTCCACCTTCATCGAGGAACTTCAGCATGCTCAGCTTGATAAACCGGATGGATTTTGGTAATGCACAAAGGAACGATATGACATCGGACTGTGTCACTAAGAAGCGCGATAATTCAAAACAGCGTGGTTTCGGCCATTTATCCACTGTAATAAAGCTTTGTAAAGAAATGAGACGCTCGGGTGATCCAGCGCTATATTCGTCATCATAGGGATTGTTGATGATTGTAGTATGTAAGCTGAAAGCTTCCATATCCTTTGCCTCACCTAATACAGGGCGAAGTCGTCCGTTCAAATATGATCGCCAGCACGCATCGAGTTGATCATTACTCTCTCCGCCTATCAGAAAGGTGGTAGCTAGATGACGGAAACCCGGATTTTTAGTACTATCGCAAAGTTGTCGTGCTCCTCGCAGGGCTGATCAAAGATCGTACAACTGAGTCCAGTCGGCAGATGATTGGGAGACATAACCAGCTCGGAAACTGAGTTCGGTTCATTCGCTAGTATGCGCAGTACAGAAATAAAGCCGCGGTACCTTTCTCTAAGTTTGGGATACTCTTTCCAATGGTATGCAACGGGTGGTTCAGCCGGGCCATTCAACCATCCCCGTGCAATAGGGTAATTGAAACCCTTTGGAAAAACGCGAATCATAGGCGTAGGATAGAGCGGAGTAAAGAGATGGCCGTGGGCCGAAGGCGTGATAGTGACTCTCTTAAGAGCAGGGAACTGTTTGACGCCGTACGAATTCTTAAATTGTACACATGAGAGGCGGAGATTCTTGATGTCGGAGTTGGATAGATAAGATGATATGCATCCCCATAGCTCGAAAGGGAGGGCAGGGAGAGTGGCGTAAGCCATGAAGTGATTGAGGATCGCGGGAGTAAGCCACTCCCTCCGCCCCTCCGCCCCTCCCCTCCAGCTTCGGTCGATCCCAGTCCTAGGGCCCCACTTTTCATTTCTTTGGCTACATTATACTTAGCGATTAGTATATAAGACGAAACAATAGATCGCAGGTCAGCGTACTATATTCTTTGGGCGCATTCCCACAGCACGACGCACAAAAGAGAGACAGACAATTCAATGATATAGTGTATCAAAATGGTTAAGAGGAGAGAGAGAGAGAGAGAGAGAGAGAGAGAGAGAGAGAGAGAGAGAGATAGATAGGTCGGGGTTAACTTTCATGATGAAAGTTTCATTAGTAGTTGTTACTTGTTCGGTTGTATCGTATGGGCAATCTATTTTCATACAGTATTGACCAAAAAGCGTCTGAAAACCCTCGTTCCACTTGAATTTCCACTGGACATAGCATGACACTCTCTATAGACATTAGAACTGGTAGCAAAGGCCCAATGGGCCACCTGGCTATTAAAGCCTCTCATACATTGATTCATGGCCATCGAGGCCTAATGTAAGGGGTTCAATATCCATATTTGCCAGTGATCAAATATCACATGTCCGACGGCAGTAAGCCTGAGGCGACTGCCTACTGTTCTAGAGCTTATGCTAAATGGCCATGGTTAGAATGCGGTGGTGTAAGAGACAGGGCTGAGATCGAGTAATTGTGAGCACCAGTCATGGAGCCAGCCGGTCCCTTTGTCCATCAACTGGCGACCGCCCCGGCTTACTAACCTGACAGGCCAGTAAACATTCCGCTACAGTGCATATTCGATCAAGATCCGGGTCTTATGGGCCGAACCTCGGGTCGGTGACCTATTGGGCATTGAACTCATCCCAATTCAATAGAATTAAATCAGTGCAAGTCGGTCATGAATTGAGCATTGGAACAACCCAGTCTGAATCGCGAGAGGCGCAGCTTTCTATAATTATAGCCAAGCGCGATCAATTATGTGAGAATAATCGTGAGGCCTCCGGTGAAATAGCCATGCCGGTTCGGCAACTTGGTTTTTCTCTTCTTCTTTCTTTTTATTCCTACCCGAATAAATTTCTATTTAATTATAAAAATCCTGAATATCTATTGTATTCAGTACCTCTATCAAAGAATTACCCCAGTGGCCATGTAGTATTCGTTATATACGGGCTCCGAGTTGGGTTACAGAATGTATATATTCACGTGACCTGGAGCTCCCCAGATCGTTTCGGAATAACTATCATCCGCTGTTTTTGGACCTCGTGCAGGAAGGCACCCAGCTCCATCTGTTATCTGACACCTAGGCCCCTCGATGTCCTCATTTATTATCCCAGAATCGCAGTGAATTTGGCAAATCTCAACATCGATTGCAGTTTCAAGGCGCAAACCCCCCTTCAACCTATCAAGATCCAAGATCCACCACTATCGCGCTAGGACATGCCCATGACCGACGACACAGACGATAGCGGAGGGGTTATCCTAGATGGCCCCTTCGACCCTGACGCGCAGGCTACGGTAACAGACTTTATCGACTACACCGAATACCTCCCCGCAGACTTAATCCGTTCCTTGACCCTCATACGCGGCCTCGATGACCGATACCTCGACTCGGCGCAAGCGGTACACCAGCTCACTCAGATCTACGGTCAGCTCCCAGACCTTCCTTCCGAAAACCGACCAGGCGCAATTGCCCTGCGCAAAGATATATCTTCTCAAGTCGATCGTGCCATCAATGCGCGTGAGTCAGCATATGCCGAGGCCTGTCGTCTTTACGATGTTGTAGATCGCCACTTCGACCGATTAGGTTGCATCCGCCAGAAACTCGAAGCACTGCCGAAACCTGCCTCAGAAGAACCATCACCTCCACCCGAACCTACACCGAAGCGTGCGCGCGGAGGCAAGAAGACTAACAAGGATGCCACGACGCGTATCACCCTTCGATTAGATAACAATCGCAATCGAAGAGATAAAAACCGGAGACGTATGCTAGGTGCCGATGGGGCTTTTGATCCAGACTCCCCGCTTGCCAGTACGGAGCAATCGGATTTGGAGAGCGAACTCATTAAATCTGCCCCCAAGCCCGCTCGACCCCCAAAGAAGGAGAAAGTACGCCGCCTGAGCTTGGGTAACGGACCGTCAACAGCCCAGGCCCTTGCACAGTTGAAACCGCCGCCAGCTGACGCGAAATTGGGCAGCGAGGACCTGCCATGGCTGCGGTTGACCGAATGGGAGATGACCAGACTGCGGAAGAAGATGAAAAAGAATGCTGTGTGGCAGCCAAGTGAAGTAATGATTCACCGTGAGCTAGCCCTGGCAAATCGCGGTTGGGAAGCATACCGTGCAGCGAAGGTCCTGGCAGAAGAGACGGGTGGGGAGTTCATTGACTGTGATAATATCGAAGAAACCCGGCGTGGGGAGGCCGCCAAAGATTTGGAGGAGACGAAGCTGAGCAATCGCGGAATGAAACTCAACGAAGCAAAGAAGTTGAAACGCGAACAGTTGGCCCGTGAACAGGCATTGATGGAAGGCGAAGGTGGTGTCTTGCCCAGGCCTTTAACAAGCCCCGCCCAAGCACCCCCAGCCGCAAATCGATCATCACGAAAAAGAAAACGGGAAGAGGTTATCCTCGAAGCAACAGAACTTGCTCCCGAGCCTCCCAAACCTACGCCAGTTGCTACCCCGGTCGCACCACCCGCCCCTGCCCCTGCCCCTGCGCCCTCTTCCAGGACTGGCCCGTCTCGGCGCAGATCCAGCAGAGGAGCCGTTCCAGCCGCCGAAACTAACGACCTCACCCCCCGGATCAAAACCAACGTGTCCCCTGCAATTGAAGCCAACCTCTCCCCTCCTCTCCCTAGCCCCACAGGCTCCGGGCCATCCAACCCATCCCTTGTCCAACCTGTTGTCACTACACCCACCCCGCCCGTCACTCGGCCTTCCTCGCGGCGCTCTATAGCCGCTGCCTCGATCGAAGGAGGGAACCTCAATACCATTCCAGCAGCAATAGCAGCAAGTGGACGCGACCGCCGTATTAAAAGCGCAACACCTGCGCACAAAACCCCCATCCGCGAGTCGTCACACGCGCCAAGTGTTCCCGGCCCGGCCCGCCGACGCAAGCGTCCAGCACCAGGTCCCATTTCCAGTGGTCAAGATGGCGGCGCAGCGGTAAGCTACGGACGCCGCAAAGCCAAGCCCGGAAAGAAGCGCCTCAGCATCCGCGACTCCCAGGATGTCCGTGTAGATGAAGACGGCGTCCTCGAGCAGATCGACGCCAATGAGCCCCGATACTGTCTCTGTGGAGATGTTAGTTTTGGGACGATGATCTGCTGCGAGAATCAGGATGTTAGTTATCCTCATTATGACATATTCTAGCAGAATGCTAATATTTTGATTTGTTACAGTGTGACCGTGAATGGTTCCATCTCAACTGCGTGGGTCTGACCGAAGTCCCCTCTCGCACGGCCAAGTGGTACTGTCCCCAGTGCCGTGTCAAGCTACACAAGGGTGAAGATGGGATTATCAAGGGGAGCTCGCGACGTTAATTGGATTTGAATGATGTTTCTTGCATGATACCACGAGATGCGTTTGTTGCTATTTTGTTGTTTTCCTATCTGTGTACGGAGTACTGCCATACGGCTTCTGGTTTTCCAACCTTTTCTTTCTTTCTACCAAATAATCATATATTCATCAACCTTGGAAGCATTATTGTGATATGTGTGAGGTTACAGCAGCCGACCTTGGTACGCGGTTCCGGGGCCAAATGCGGGAAATGAGCTTCCCCATATGTCTTGACTGGGCTCACAGCTATATCGCGATATAAACTCGCAGTTGTGGATCAACTCCCAAAGTATACTTTCAGCACACTTACTATCGACATGAGTCACCAAGCACATGCCAAAATCTCCTTGGATAAACGATGATGAACTGATCGTCGTTAAAAGACGACATCGAGCTCGCAGCCCATTTTACGATCCGTTCTGGGACCGAGACTTCGAAGTCGAGAGCATCCTGAGGCGCAGATCTTGCTTGAACAAATCAAGGCCCATGAGACGCACTATAATTGCCTCAACCAGCTCGTCTGAAACTTGAATTTTGGATCAAAGGAATACCTGAAAATATGCTCTCATCTCGCTTGCATAAAGAGGTCATTATGGGTGGCTTTCGCAAATATATCAAAAATTAAAACCGAAATGTAGAAGAAGCGCCCAAGGGAGGTTAAGAAATATACACAATACATGGCTGTGTCTGCTTCTGACATAAAAACTACCCCTTTGGTCTAGACAAGTTATAATGTAACACCCCATCACCGCGCTCCTCTAAAGTCTCTTCCATAGTAGATAGTTCATTATACCCCTTATCCAGCCGCGATGATTTCGAATATCGACTGGTGTCCGGCAACTCTTGATATTTATCAGACCCAGGCTGCGGATGATAAAAGTCCGCCGGTAATTCCACAGCAAAGCTTTTACGGTGTTCCTGTCCATATTGCGACGGAGGGGCATACCCCGAAGCCACCGACCCGAACTGCACCGAATCCGTCGGCGATGTGGGCACACGAGACGATGACGACCTGGACATTTGATCCGACTGTCTCCGCGATGAATACAACGGCTCCCTGATAATCCTGCTCGATCGATCGGCCGGATTATACGTCGTCAATTTCCCATCCTCCATCATAGCCTGCAAGACACCCGCATCAAGAAGCTCAGCTTTCTTAATCAGACGATCTACCAGCACCTTCGAAGCAGCTTTTAACTGACTCTTGACGAAGGAAATTAACGTGCGGTTGCATTCGATCTCGATGTCTTCGCGCAGGTATAGTCCCGTTTTCGGGGCGCCGTCTGCGCGCCCGTCGCGCGGTTCAGGGGCTTCATCGTGTTGGTTGCCTGCAATGCGCCATTTGCTTCGGATGTCGATTCCCATCGGCGCGTACATGTGTGTTTCTAGACCCCATGCGACGTCGTGGAAACAGCCTTTGAAGCTGATCTTGCCTGACCCCATCTTGCCTAGCCCAGGGACGTATTGCACTCGTTCGCTTATCTCGTACCATGTTGAGTAGTACTCGTCGGCGACAGCATCCCGTGGAGCCTTGATGGGTTGATGTGAGAGGACGAGTGGGTTTAGTGTGATTATTTCGCTGTGGCTGTGTAGGATGTCGAGGGCTAGTTGGCGGGGCACAGATGGGGGTATAGGGGTGATATTGGTATAAACATCTTTTCGGCGCATCATTTTGAATGATTTAATTTGATAAATATCAACAGGCGCGAAGGGGGGAATGTAAGTCTGAAAGTACAAGGCTGAATTGAAGTTGCGCTTGTATTTCATCTGCTTACTATTTTTAAGTTGCGCTAGACCTTACACATGACAATATGGCTTGGGCTATGGCTTGGGCATAAATAAATTATATAGAAACCATTTGAGAACAATACACTTCTGATTGGTATAATATAAGTTCATTTACATAGTCTCTACTTCAGTTCCCACTTGTCGCCCTCGGAGACAATCTCCACAGGCCGCCTCTCATCCAGCGACTTGCGTCCGGCATCGAGAATTGCCGTTGTGGCGATCGTGTTGCGCAGAGTGGGCAGCGGGCGGGCATCCAACTGGTCGAGGGTAACACGGCCCTCGTTCACAGCTGTGACGGCATCGATGAACTTCTCGAAGCTGATATAGCCGTATCCAGTCTGTCCGCTAAAGTTTCCTTCTTCATCAGGAGCGTAGCGCATATAGAATCTAGTATATCGGAGTCAGCATGGAGCCATGGTGCGGCATTATCTTGGGAATAGGGTTCTTACGGGTTGAAATGAATGAGACCCTGCTCATCGCCGGTCACTTCATAGCCACGCTTGGCCTGGTTAACGCGGATCTCGCCGTTGGCAGCCATATCTATTTGAATGTGTTAGAAGAGACATGTTTATAAAATATTGTCGGAGAATGGAATAACATACAGTGGAAGTATTGGTTGGAGTGAACACCAGCATTTTGAGGTGCCGTCCAGCTAGCAGTATAGACACCAGTGGCAATCTTCGCCGGGTTATCACGGCGGCGCCACTCAACGAGGAGGGTGATGGTGTCCTCGGTCTCGGGGACACATCCAAGCGCAGCAGCAGTACCCTGGGATGCAGTTGCTGTGACCCGCACAGGCTTATATTCTGGGACCATGCTCTCGCAGACATCGATGTGGTGAGAGTTTAGGTAGTAAGAAATATCGGAATCACGACCAGCCCAGGCCTTGAATGTCTCGAGCTGACTCTTAGGCTGGCTCATGTAGCTATAGAAGTAGTTGAAGTCACCAAGGGACTTGGCCTTGGCCCGCGCATCAGAGTATGCAGGGTCAAAGCGCTTGTGGTGCTCAACGAAGACGAAGACGCCGTGCTTCCGCGCGGCATCGACCAGAGCGAGGTGGTCTCCCAGACGTTGAGTTGCTGGCTTGGTGATAAGCACGTGGTGGCCGCGCTCAATTGCGTACAGCGCAATGGGATAGTGGGTAGAGTCGGGGGTGAAGATGGTGATGGCGGATCCCTTGGGGAGGGCATCAATGGCGGTCTTGTATGCATCAGGGTCGGTCTGGTCGTCCGCGGGGAATGAGGCGAACGAGGTATCGAGGTTGTTGTAGACTTGAGAGATATTACGGTGCAAGTGGTCACCTATTCTCATGGTTAGCTTCTTGTTTGCTTGCTTGTTCTTTCGCTCAACTTACGAATACCAGGGAACTTCTTGCCCGACACTCCCACCATACTCAGGTCGCCCACCTTGCCCCGTCGGCGCAGGTCAAATAGACTGAGGCCTACCACGCCGACCTTCTTGTCTGAGCCAGATGCACCACCACCGACGAAGCCGGTGGTGTATTCGCCAGTGCCGACCTGCGAGTCTGTTAGCTTGGGATCTAGTGCGGGGAATCATTGTCCATACCATCAAAACGCTAGGAGGAGCCATGATGTCTGTTAATTCCGATATGGTGATTGAATTCCGGGGGATTTCTAGGGGAGAAAAGGAAATTTAAGACAATTCACAGAAAGCCGGGGTATTGAATCGCTGGATATAATTCTTCCGGCCTTTGAAATGCCAACTCAATAGCCGTATCTTATCAGCTTTGGGGTTTTGGACGTCATGTGTTTTCTTTTTCGTCGTCCTCATTCTTCTTTTTCAAAAAATAGGGACTGATACGTGTATATACATTATTGCCCTTGCTACTCTGACCTCAATTCCAAATTTACCAAATGCTAGACTCATGTATGGTCTTTTCGACGCTATCGCCGGCTGAAATTCGTCTTTACCCGTCTTTTACCCCCTCATGTCCCCCACATTCTGGACGGTTGAGCTGATTGGTGGAATGTGATTCTCCGTCATACAAAGTGCCTCGGAGCATTCGCCGACGTGGGGGAGGGGAGAAGGATGCCCCGAAAGATGTTCATAAGAATGTGAAGTGCCAATAATATTTTAATTACTACGAAGTATATACCCCTCAAATTCCAAGTAGGTCATTATACAATCAACATCCGTGAACATCAGCTCACACAAACTCCAGAATCATGTCTCCCACCCCACTCCGCCCCGGCGTTTATGCGCCGACGATGACCTTCTTCGATGCCCAGACCGAAGAGCTCGATATCGCCTCCATTCGCCGTCACGCCGTGCGTTTAGCCAAGGCCGGCCTTGTCGGCCTGGTTACCATGGGCTCCAACGGTGAGGCTGTGCATCTCAGCCGCGAAGAGCGCAAGACCGTCACTCGGGAGACCCGCTCTGCTCTCGATGAAGCTGGTTTCTCCAACGTGCCCGTCATCGCCGGTGCCAGCGAGAACAGCATTCGCGGAACCATCGACCTGTGCAAGGAGGTCGCAGCTTCTGGCGGCGAGTACGTTTTGATCGTGCCTCCCAGCTACTACCGCGCCGCAGTCGGCAATGACGAAACCCTATACGAGTACTTCACAGCCGTTGCCGACGGCTCCCCTGTTCCTATTATCCTATACAACTACCCCGGTGCTGTCGCTGGCATTGACATGGATTCCGACCTCATCATCCGTATCTCTGAACACCCTAACATCGTTGGCACTAAGTTCACTTGTGCCAATACCGGCAAGCTGACTCGTGTCGCTACCGCTCTTGGCGCCATCACCCCCTCCTCTCCCTTGGCTCCGGCTCAGCGTACCGCAACGGTCTCCAAGCCCAATGCCAAGCACCCATACGTTGCCTTCGGCGGTATTGCCGACTTCAGTCTGCAGGCCCTCGTCTCTGGTGGCTCTGCGATTCTTGCCGGTGGCGCCAACGTTCTTCCCCGCCTTTGCGTCCGCATCTTCACTCTCTGGTCCGAGGGTCGTCTCACAGAGGCCATCGAGGCCCAGCAGCAACTCAGTACTGCCGACTGGGTTCTTACAAAGGCTGCCATTCCTGGCACCAAGGGCGCTATCCAGTCATACTACGGCTACGGCGGGTTCCCTCGCCGACCTCTCAGCCGTCTTACTGATGCCCAGTACCAGACCATTGCTGATAAGATCAAGCCTGCTATGGATGTGGAATTGAGCTTGCCCGATGTGGCATAGTGGCTCGAAAATATAGCAAGGTGCTACATCTAAAGTCTAGTAATATAATTCCAATGCATATATCAAGTTTCACAACCCCACCTTTTATTGTCATAAGTGTAGCTATTTATTGATATCTTATGCACCAATATCACGAAATTATCTTTGCATAGGTCGCTCGCGGGTATCATTTATTGTTACTGACCTGATCCATGGTGAGGCAAAAGCTTAACATTACGGAGTCTCGCATCGGTTCAAGTTCCTCGTTTTGAAACTTTCAATGTTCTAAGACGGAAGTGTAACTAATTTCCTAAACTGGCATAGTTCAAGAAAAATATACTTTCCAAGGTTATTCCTAATTCCACGGTGGAACACGTCTACTGGAACAGTTCAGCCTCCAGCGCTAGCATTTGAGGAAATGAACGGGCGTCTGATTAGGGATTAGTAGGTCAAATCAACCTCGAAGCCCTATATACGTTGACCTCCCAGGGAGTTATCCTGTTCAACTGCCTAAATATGGTAGCTACATTTACACTGTCCTTCTTATTATTATTAGCCACCCAATATTCCGAATTCTCATGTGGGATATTGTCATATATGTTGATTGTTCAGATTTTCTGCCTCGCGCAATCTACCAAAATGCACGATACCCCAACAAATACGATCCTCCAAACTTGGTATTTTATACTGAGATGCGAGAGACTCGAGCAAACGCTTGTCTCCATGAAGGAAATAGCAACCCCCTTCATCCCACAGCAGCGTCTCAAGGTTCTCCGGATTGACCTTAATTACCTGGACATTAATTCCGGTATATCTTCGCCTTCTGTTACGCACTATTTCATGCCACGAACAGACACACCAAAGATAGAGAAGATACGTGCAGACCCAGATTGGGATTGGTTTCTATCTCAAAAAGGAAACTTTGGCAAAGGAACTTTCCGTGCAAACTATCTACTTCGGCGTGTGTTCATGGACTACCAGGACTGGAGTATTCCCGAACTTTGGCCCTACAAGCCGGATGGAACGAGAAGCGAAGAAAAAGAGAATCATGATGATCCTACTGCCCAGGAGTTGGGTCACCTTGATAACACTAAATATGACAAAGTGAGCGATAAAACAGACAAACCGGATGATAAAGTCTGCGAGAACAAAGAAGGGAAAAGTATGGGCCCCGAAAAACATAATGAGAGTGACAAATATGACGACAGCAGCAAAGAGTGCAGTAACAGGACTCGCGAACCAAGTGGTAAAAGTCACGAGAAAGGCGACGAAAGCGAAAGCGAGAAAAGTGACCAGGAAACCGGTGATAACCATGAGATGGTGATTCCGAAGGCTTTGGACCTGAATATCCGCAATTACAAGACTGATGACTGGTTAGTCTACTGGTAAGTGGCACATGGTTATTCTGAATTTGTATTATTTACACTGATCAATTTCACCCAGGTCCAAAGCTCTACACGATCTCAGTCTTCCAGACAAAACACACGGAATCAGTATCGCCAGGTCAATGGAGCTAGATCACCCACACAAATGCCACGAATGGGCTCTGGTAGATGTGATATTATGTGGTCACGATTGCCCCTCGACTGCTGAGCTCATTGCCTTGGTTAGCTGGGGGTTGAGAGGTATGCTCCATCAATTATAATCGCTCACCAATACAATCGAGACAGGGTATGTTCACATGCTCAATAAAGCTTTCCCAGTAAGTCCAAGTCACTCCCATCCCTTGAGCAAAAAATATCTTACTGATAACTCGTGAGCTCTACAGACTATGATAATAGTGTTCGACCAAAGATGCTGTGCCCGTGTACTATACGGTTACTTTGATGGTAGATTTCAAGTTCAATTTACCCCGGTCTTAGATTTTAAAGAATTTACCGAGATCAGCTCGTCAACCTTGGAAGGTTACATGGGTCGGATTGACAAGAAGAAATACTATGACATGATGCACTCATTGCTTCGTTGGGCGTGGCCTCTTTGCCATCATCTCACCACTATCGCTCAGCCCTAAGACCACAACAATTATAGCTATATGGGGAACCTTCATTTAGCTTTGCTGTACTAGTTTAGCTTTGAATGGCTCGTTTATATGGCTAGGCTTTCCCTTGGGCCTCTTTTGGGGACATTCGATCTTGATTTGTGGAGCGATTCTTTGTCTACATCAACTTTATTAGGGCTGTTGTGAGTGTCACACCCCCCTACAACCTACTGTATATATTTTTACGAGATGAAGAAGTCAATGGTAGTTCCTGAACTTGTAGATATACTTGTTTGCTCTTGCCAATAAATTCGATTTGTAGTAGTAAAGATGATGTGTATTTGTCCTCCGATTGTGAGTACAACATCTGCTGCTTATACTCTCGATGAGTATACGTAACTTTGGTTTTAGGGTGCTTCGGGTTATTTTTGACACCAAAATTAAAAGGCTGCAAGGCGTAACCAATAAGGCAGAAAGACTAGAAACAAACTGGTACTCAACACGATTGTCCAAGGCATCAAATCCCCCTTCCCCCGCATGACACGTGCTATTATGGATGTTCGTGACGTCTCCCGCCTCCATGTCGAGTCAGTGCAGCAGGCAAACATTGTTGAAGCCGGGGAATATCGTAGTTTCATTGCAAGTACCCCCGGGGCGTGGGAGGATATTCCAGGGATTATCCGGAGTTTTGCTGAGCTTCAAAGCGACTAGAAACGTGTTACTGCCCTGAGCGAACAGAAGTCGATTCTTCTTGGCCTCAATGCCTCTGACACCGAGCTTGGCTTTGGATGGAAATTCACGGACTTGGAGCAAACAATCACCGGTCTCATCTCGCAGTACATTGAGCTCAGGTGATGGTGTTTGTTTCCGACCTTAACCACGATGTTCCGTCTTTTACCGTGGCCACGTCCATGTAAAGCTCAGAGCCCTAAACCCAAGCCCTACATCATCCCACTTCTTATCGTTGATAAGGTCAATCCGAGATATAATTTCTCCTCGCACGCTGATAGGTGGAAAAACCTCTGAATCGGAGTTGATGCGAGAACCCGTCCACTGGACGACCTCGGGACCTAGCGTTATCAGCTACCTAGTATGGGATGTTATTAAAATTCTACTCCACTAAATACAACAACCACCCCACGCTGCCGAGACCACTTGGTTCTTTTCATCGTATTGATTCGTCTCTCGGGCGATATAGACCCCCGAGTCCTACGCTCTGATTCCTCTCAATTGTCAGTTTACCCGGTCGAGCGGGTCCACGGGACAATGTCCGGCTGGAAGGAAAACAGCTGTATACCGCAGTACATAGTGTCACGATGGATTTGGAGACTATATCCCGCGTAGGAAGAATTGGGAATGTTTTGCGATCCCCGCTCGTAGGGTCTGAAATTTCGTGGGGTTGATATACACCCTCCACCCCGCTTGTTTTCTGGTTTCTACTTTTCTTTTCTTAGTTTTTTTGGTTCCCTCGTATACACTGCTTTGCTGTATCCCGAAGAACAGTCCCTGACAACGACTTCTTTAGATCAATCGCTCATTCTTATCACAATGCCTTACCCCGAAGAAGCTGAGGGCTTCCAGGTCGATGGACCTGACAGCTTCACCCAGTTCCACAAGCGTCACGTATGTGCTCTTTTCTGTCTGCTGGTTAGGATATGCGCTTATCTAGATTGGTTGTGATGATTAGTTCAAGCTGAAGCCTTTCGGCGACTATGGTGAGTTAGGCTGTCGGTGCGACCATGCTTCTTTCTAATTCTAACCGGGTGTAGATGTCGACGTCAAGATTGAGGCTTGTGGAATTTGCGGCAGTGATGTGCACACTATCAGCGGTATGATTCCGTTGAAATATCAAGCAGAAACACCAGCTAATGTATACATATAGGAGGATGGGGTGATCAGAAGTTCCCTCTGTGCGTGGGTCACGGTACGTATTGGAAAACAAAAGAAGAAAAAAAAAGGCTACTGTCTCATGCTAATGACCATCCTAGAGATCGTGGGTCGGGCAATCCGTGTTGGACCTAAGGTCACTCTGATTAAGGAAGGCGAGCGCGTTGGTGTCGGCGCGCAGTCCTACTCCTGCGGCAAGTGCAAGCAGTGCCGCAACGACAACGAGACATACTGCCAGGTTGAACCTATGGACACCTACGGCTCGAAGTGGGCCGACAGTGGCATCGTTAGCCAGGGCGGATACTCATCGCACGTGCGGACACACGAGCACTGGGTGTTCCCGATCCCGGACGCACTGGAGACCAACTCGGTTGCTCCGATGCTGTGCGCCGGACTGACTGCTTACTCGCCATTGGTACGCAATGGCGCTGGCCCTGGCAAGAAGGTTGGAATCGTTGGACTGGGTGGCATTGGTCACTTTGGAATCATGTTTGCCAAAGCGCTGGGTGCGGAGACGTGGGCTATTTCCCGCTCTCGCGCTAAGGAGGCGGATGCTCTTAAGCTCGGTGCTGATGGTTACATTGCTACTGCCGAGGAGGGATGGGATAAGGATCACTTGTGCTCGTTTGATTTGATTATCAACTGTGCTAACTCTTCCGAGGGTTTCGATCTTGCGCGCTATCTGTCCATGATGGATGTTCATGGGCGCTGGATCAGTGTTGGTCTTCCTGAGGAGGAGGGACAGGTTATTAAGGCTCAGAACTTGATCTCTAACGGTGTTCTTATCGGTGCCAGCCACCTGGGTAGCCGTCGGGAGATGCTTGATATGTTGCAGCTGGCTGCGGATCGGGGTCTTAAGGGATGGGTGGAGGAGATTGCTATCGGAGAGGAGGGACTCAAGGAGGCCATGCTACGCATGAAGAAGGGTGATGTTCACTACCGGTTCACTCTGACCGGATACGAGAAGCTCTTTGGATGAAGATAGATGTTCAGTATTGCGAATTATGTACATAGTCGGTGTCAACATACAAAACCACGGAGGGGGTAGAGGGCTGGGGGGGGTTGGTGGGTTAGGGGCTTAGGGTGTTTATCCATATTGAAGAAGTTTTCTAAAGAGATTGAAATCCATTATTTATTATTTGTCCAATAATAGTATTGATCTTCCCGTATTCCTGTATGCTAACATTGAAAGAAGTATACAAAGACCCTATTCAGGTCTGACTGTACTAATATTAGCCTCTCAGCCTGTGTCTAGAAAATTCTAAAACTCTAATCGCCACCGGAGGGGTGTAGACGGTACTTAGATCCGCAGTGAAATTAACCTGACGATCCATGTCACCGTTACTCCGCACTTTCCACGGGTGTTTCCTCCCCCCCAGGATTTGCCTCCCGACGCCTTAAAATTCTAACCTATGCCGAGGCAGGTACTTCAAAGTATTTGGTACTTGAGTCTAATAGTAGATTACTACGATGAGATTAGTACCAGTAACTACTTCGTGACTTGAGGGTCGAACCAATCACTCCTCCTCAATTCACCGCCCGATAACTCTCACTCTGTTTTCTGGAATTCTTCCGCCCTTTTTTATCTTCTCCTTGCGCCTTCAATTTTTTTTTTCTTTTGTTGTTCTCTCTCTATAGTTCATTCATTAATCTCTATCTTTCTTTCTATCTTTTTTCATTCTCTTGGGGCCTTGGAGTTCGCGAACTGTCGTTGATCTATACACGTTGTTAGACTTATCTCACAGAACCCACAAGACCAAAACGTCACATCGGTCCACAAACGATAAATAGACCAGACTCAAAAAAACGCCTTGTCATTCTTTGTCCCAACCACCGCCGTCACATATTATCAGATTTATCCAATTATTGTTTAATTTGCCCTCGATACACCAGCTTCAGTCATGTTGCCACGAGAGACCAACGCCACCTCCACAAGGCGACGCCCCTCGTTGTCGTTGTCGTTTCGTCCACGCCCACGCACTGCAGGTCATGCCGCCCCGATGTCAAAAGAGCTGGCTTTGGATACATGGGAGCCATACTTGATGGAAATATGCCAGGATGACCATGCACCGGTCGTGGAGGAGATAGACCCGTTTCCGAATGCGGCTCCGCGGCGCCGTGGTGCCAAAAGCTTCTCGAGTTTGAAGCATCCCGTGGATGGTTTAGTCGCTCTCGGTCGCCGTCTATCCGTCAGTCTTCGCAACAAGCCTTCCAAGCAAACAATTCCTCTCGCCGAGCACATCAAATTGGTTGATGACGATGAAGACCGTTACCATCACCGTCTTTCGAGCCATGCAAGCCATAAGCGCATGGCCTCCGGCAGCTGGGATGTCCGATCAACGAAACCATACTGGCACCAAGGCTATAGCGTCAATCGACGCCCTTCTTTGAATAGTGTGTCTGCCCTGCATAGTTTCTATGCCCCCACCGCCTCGATTCCTGCTCCCATTCCGGGTCGTGGGCAGGCACCTCCAGTTCTGCCGAATCATAAATCTGCAGGTGCAGCGGCGCGCGCCGCAGCCGCAGCGCAGAATGAACAGATGGAGGCTGCGCGGATGGCTAAGGTGGAATTGGAGAACAAGATGCTCGATCTGAGAGTTCCGCAGGACTCAGAGAGCGGTATTTGTATTGACCTTCGCGATCGGTCGAATGTGTCAGACAGTGATTTGCTGGCCATTATGCGACTCGGTAAGGATGAACCCCCCTCCCCGATGGGCAGAGCGCCTGTTTTGCTAACTTCTTTATTTATTTTTTAGATCCCGTGGCTCTACTTCCGGCTGAGATTACATCACACATTCTGTCATATTTGGACCCTGATTCCCTCATGAACGTGGAGCTCGTGTCTCGCACCTGGTTCAATGCGTCCTCTTCTCATGTTTGGAGGCACGTATTCCGCAATGCATATGGCCGACGGCTAGCAAGCGAGACGGCCTCCAAGTTGAAGCTATCATCTGGCTTAGGGAAGTCAATCCCGAACCAGGACTGGAAGAAAAAGTTCCTTGTCCGGCGCGCCCTCGATCAGCGCTGGACGGATGGCAAGGCTGCAGCCATTTATCTTCAAGGTCATGAGGACAGCGTCTATTGCTCTCAATTTGACGAGTAAGTTAACATTGATCAGTTGATGCCGTGCACTGCTAACAAGTTTACAGGAACAAAATCATTACTGGCTCCCGTGATCGGACGGTTCGTGTGTGGGACGCACACTATCCGTGGTCATGCAAGAAAATTATTGGACCACCCGCGGCCAGGACTTTCCGCCGTGGCCCAGTGAACAACCCAACTGCCCAGGCCACGGGGACCTCACCATTTATAACTATTACCCCGCCGTGGCCCACACTGGATGAGACGACGGAAATCACGGCACCATTGGAGGAAACATCGATATACCACAGCGCATCAATCCTGTGCCTGCAGTTTGATGAGGAGATCATGGTCACAGGATCTTCGGACTTTACCTGTATCGTGTATGACATCAAGGACGACTACCGACCAATTCGTCGTCTTTCCGGTCATCACGCCGGTGTGCTTGATGTATGCTTTGATGACCGCTACATCGTCTCATGCTCCAAGGATACGACCATCTGTGTGTGGGACCGAAACACCGGTGGACTTCTGAGGCAGCTCAACGGTCACCAAGGGCCAGTGAATGCTGTGCAGTTACGCGGTGACCTTATCGTGTCAGCCAGCGGTGACGGCGTTGCCAAGATGTGGAACGTGATCTCAGGCCAATGTGTCAAGGAGTTCACCAGCAAGGACCGTGGCCTCGCATGTGTCGAATTCAGTGACGATGGCCGGACCATCCTCACTGGTGGCAACGACCGCATAATCTACCAATTCGATGCTAACACGGGCGAGCTCGTCAACGAGCTTCATGGGCATACGGGCCTCATCAGATCTTTGCATCTCGACAGCGCAAATAAGCGCATCATTAGCGGTAGTTATGACATGAGCGTCAAGGTGTTCGACCGTGATACGGGTGACCTGTCCATCAACTTCCCTGGCTGGACCACAAGCTGGATGTTGAGCGTGCAGTCCGATTATAGACGCATTGTTGCGACGAGCCAAGACTCGCGAGCCGTCATTATAGACTTTGGATATGGTCTAGACGGGATCGACCTGTTGGAGGAGTGATCTATTTGCATTTGTTTATATACGGCTTGTTCTTCTCAGCGCTGCTTCTTCCCATTTGGGTTTGCTTGGTCATTGTCGTTATACATTGCTAGTGGGAGTTGGATATGAGGGTTCTCGTCTTGGGTACAAATTGGATCAGGCTGGAATATTGGCAAAATATATTCTTGCTCTTCTTTGTTATATTTACACATACACATCACACTAGTGTAAAACTATATACCTACATATGTAGCATGTATTATCGTATATCTTGTAGCGTTAGAATAGCCTTGATTTCCAATATCTTGAGAGTTAGGTCGTCACTTAAGGTGATCAAGGCAGCTAGCTACAAGATCAATAGATCGACCATTTCTGCTAGTCAAATGTGTCAAATGTGGCAGCGGGGAAGGCGGTAGAAAGGGCGGTCAATCGATTAAGTAGTGATGCATGAGGTGACAACTTGATATCCTAGCTAACGCCACGATGGGAGATATGACATATGAGATTTGACCTGTTGCGATGTAATTGTACCTCACTCGACGATGTAATAGTTTCATGCGCCGAGGTAATATCTCAGGTCTACGATATGATACCTCAGGCACCAAGACATTGATTAACTAATATATTTGTGATTCGCCAGAAAAAAGTGGGCTAGCGCCAGTGTGATCCGTGGGATTTAGCATCAAAACAATCCCTCTGCTGTTTCCCATCAACCACACAAGCAGAGACTGACAAGAAGTCCTAGTCTTGCGGTGTAATATCTTCATACATCTCTCTTTCCGCTTAGCGCTTATCCCAGTCTCATTTTTCGCTTTAGCGTTTCGATTGATAACTATTCTACCCCACCATCATGGGTGAATCCAGGTTCGGCTTTTCTCCTATTCCCCGCCATCTCGCGACTAATATGGCTTTGCTGACTGCCGATCAATTTATGATTCCAGACAGGAACTGCTGGCATGGCTTAACAACCTGCTTCAGCTGAACCTGACCAAGATTGAACAGTGTGGAACTGGGTATGGTTGATCAATATTCTCTCCCTGACTTTGAACGGCTTGCGGGGCGAACTATTTTGTATAGATCAGATGGGCTAACCTCTTATCTTGTCTCTCTATAGTGCTGCCCTCTGCCAGGTGTTCGATTCGATTTTCAGTATGTAATCACTACGACTTGCGCAACAATTAAGAGACGGGCGGTTCCGTATCGGGTTGTGGAACATACTAACTGATTGGTCTCTTTGTTCAGTGGATGTTCCCATGTCCCGAGTCAAGTTCAACGTGAACACTGAATATGCTTACCTCCAGAACTTCAAGGTTCTTCAGAGTATGTGAAGGCGGATTCCAAATTGGTCAACGATCCCCTTTTTAACATATTCCATCACCCAGATGTCTTCGCCCGTCACCAGGTCAACAAGCCCATCCCCGTCCAGTCCCTCACAAAGTGCCGCATGCAGGACAACCTTGAGTTCCTCCAGTGGGTTAAGAAATACTGGGATCAGCACTATCCCGGTGGTGAATACGACTCCGTCGGCCGGCGCAAGGCCTCCGGCGCGCCTGCTTCCGTTGGTGGGGGCCCTACTTCGCGCGCCCCGTCTGCTGGCAGCGCACGCCGTGGAGTGACCCCGACAACTGGCGCCGTCCGTCCCCGGATTGGCACCGCAGCCAGTGGAGCGGCCACCGCTGCCCTGCAACAGGAGATCTCGACACAAAAGGAAGCGATTGCAGGACTGGAGAAGGAGCGGGACTTCTACTTTGCCAAGTTGCGCGATATTGAACTGCTGCTCCAGAGTGCCATTGAAGCCGACCCCGAGCTTGAAAAGGAGGAAGACACGCTTGTTAAGCACATCCAAGGCATTTTATACTCGACCGAGGTCCGTTCCCTTGACCTATTCGCTGAAGATTCCCCAAACTGACGCTTATGCGCCCCCCCATTAGGACGGCTTCGAGATCCCCGCCGAAGGAGAGGAGATTCCGGCCGACGAGCTCGAGACTTTCTAAGCGAAAAATGAGTTCTGGACCCGAGAGGAGGAAAGACCCGTTACTAATACCCCCGCGTCTTTTATTCTTTCTTGTCTTCTTTCTAATGGTGTCAAATAAGACGAGCATCGTAGATATGGAGTCAAATGCATACATCTTATTTTTCCAGAGACAGAGACAGACAGAGACAGTGGTCTGACACTTGGGCTTAAAATAGGTTTATGGAGAATGGGATCGGCAAATGATTCGCCGTTAGCACGGAGTATAACGTACTCCGTATAGTGGGAATTGGAATTAGGTGGAGTAGCACACAACGGATTGATATTTTCAGGAGAAGAATTGACATATAAACACAAACACCTCAGGGTATCCTACGGGAGTAATTATTTATGCATGTAACCATTGTCCCTTGCCTACAATATATGTAAATAGAAAATGTAAATAGAAATGTAAATAGGACACTAAGATGATAATTAAACCTGCATGGTACACTAATCCCAAAATAGACTAGTTAGCTTGGCCAGAACCTCATCCGCGTCCTGTCACTTTCTATTCGTTGACCTCGCGGTACCTGGCGGTACCTGCGTTGGGAGAGGACTGGCTTTTATTTGATTTTCTTTGATTTTCTTTGATTTTCTTTGATTTCTATTGATGAAAGGAAGACTGTCATAATTTCATTTCAGATATCTTTTCTCCCTGAAATCAGGAAGAATAATAATAAAAAAAGAAAAGGATCTGTCGGCGACCGAGCCTAGTTCGTCACTAACACGGGTCGCATAGACTAGGCCTCGATAGGGGATTGTTTGGTCCAGTCTGGGTCTTTTCCATCATTTTCCCGTTTCGCTTCTTCTCTTTCGTGTGTCTTGCTTTTTCATCGCTTTTGGTTCTTTTTCGTTGTCTCTTTCTGGTCTCTTTTTTTGGGCTTTGCAATTTCGTGTACATTTCATCCCCTCTTGACAACTGAGAATTGTGCCAGTGTGACCGTACTGCCCTCAGATTTCTTCCGTCTGCGCATGCTTGTTGCCTCGACCTATTAAACACTCTATATTTCTCCTTTTGGTTCCGGATATCCAAAACACAATGGATTAGGACATGAGACTGGACTCTCTTTCTTTCGTTTCACTCTTTTCGTCACTCTTTTACCCCAGGTATGTGTTCCTCGATTTGTTTGCTTACATGGCGTGGGGCTTCAATGTTCTCCAGTTGAATAAATCCATATTAACTCCGCTTAGTCGTTTGTACGATTGCCATTCCCTCCACATCACTGTGCGCCCTATATCACCATATCCTTGAGCTGCTATTCATGCTACGCTTTTATTGTTGATCGCAACGTTCGGCTACGCTTCTGCCAACATCCATTCATTCAATACTGTCAACCGGGTCATTCTTTTCCTCGGACAATCTATCAATCTTTCCACATCAATTGTGCGCACGCTAGAACGTGTTTTTCTTTCGTTTACTTTAACCTTATCGACCCCATTCTTCGCAATACTGCGAAGCTCAACCTCTGTGAGGATCATACATACTTTGTTTTACTACTTTGTCGTGAATCTCATTGCATGCGATTGGCAATTGACAATTGACGTGGACGTGTATGGAAAAGTTGGAGAGTTGTCAACATGGCTCATGGTCATCACCGTCACTCGCGCATCGGCAATCTAATTAGCTCCAGGCGCCCCCGGGAAGCCGAGCGTGATGAACAAAATGTGGACTCTGATTTACTTGAGGATGGCTCTTTTCAAGCCCCCATCCACCCCGCTACTGATATGCTTCCGGATAAAAATTGCCACTCGAAAAACTCTCTGTGTGAACATGGTATGAACCAATCCGATTCACTGCTCGAAAAGCGGGACGAGACGACCTCCGCCGAACCGACTGGTATCGAGACTGTATTGCAGATAGTCGATGCCAGCTCACAGACCCCCTTTCAGTCGAGTGCTACCGACTTTCCGATGACGACATCGGATACTGCGTACGCCACTGACACTCTACCCAGCTCAAACGGCTTGACTGCGACTGCGACTGCGGCTGCGAGTGTCTCTATAGATGTAGGGCTAGTGACCTCGCCGACAGCGTTGCCACTACCGGAGACGTCACTTTCAAGCAGCTTCACGAACTCCACTCAAACTTCTTTGACCGCCTCCACAAACTCCAGTGAACTTCCGTCAGCATCAAGATCTCCGTCAGCTACAGTCATCAATTCGCCTGCATGGACTTCGACTCGTCTCATTGCGCATTCTAGCTCTACACCCTCTGCTACGACAACATCATCCAAGGTGCACAATTACGGGTCATATTCCAGTTCTACCTCTTGCTCTACCCCTAGCTCTAGTTCTAGTTCCAGCTCCTCGACGAGCTCGACCTCTAGCACAAACTATGCTACCTCTTCATCAGATGTATATGGAGGCTCTGAGTCAACTAGCTCAGCAACTGGTGCCGGAACTGCGCCAACTACAAGTGAAACGCAAGCCTCGGGGCAGGGTTCGACAAGCAATCCTAACACACCTAAAATCGTGGGCGGTGTAGTAGGGTCAGTTGCCGGTGTCGCTCTCATCATTCTTCTTCTATTTTACTACCTCCGCCGTCGAGGATTCTTTATGGGGAAAACGGGACCTCCAGCTATGTTAGGTGACGCAACAGTAGGGGCTGGAGCAACGGCTGAGTCTAGAGAAATTGCCGAACGCCGCGAAAGCAGCAATCCCCTCTTCACAGCCTCATACCTTGCCCCCGCATTCATGAAGCGCTGGCGCCAGTCAACGGCAACAACCCGCTCTGGAAGCACCACCGAGTCTGCCCCCAGCGAACGTGGGTTCCAAAAAATCTCTGGCAGAAAGCTTCCTCCCGTCTTTACTCACGGTGGAGACGGATATGGCGGCGGACTGGATGGTGATTCTCCCACCGTACTAGGTTTCCCTGCCACCTCCCCAGCAACCGCACCAATTGGGTCACCCTCCTTCTATGCTCCGCCCCCTGCCTCGCAATTTGGAAGTCCCCTGGACTCAAACTTCACTCGTGAGGTTGAGGAGCCAACCCCACCGACACGGCCTAACCTCGCCCACCTCCCTATCTCCAGCTCGGTCAACGTTGCCACTCCTATCACTGTCACACCGGCCCACCCCGTTGCGCAACCCCAAAGTGCAGTGCCCTTTACACCGCCGCGGCCGGATGGGCTTGGCCGCAGTTTACATAGTTTCGACGGGAGTCGAAGCAGCCGATTCACTGAGGTAATTGATCAGTGATTGGTAATGTTGCCATATGGGACATGTGAAATGATGGAAATGAAGTGATGGGTGGGGGCGCAAGCCCTCTGTGACATCGGACTCCGGTGCTTGTCCCCGATCATGCTTTTTTTTTATTGTTATTATTTTCTGTTAGATTCTACCTCTTTGTGCTGTTGTAAAAACGCATTTCCTGTCTTTCATTGTCATTTTGTTGTATATTCTTCTTTTCACTATTGATACCCACCCTCCCCCCCCTTCTTTCTCTTTTCTTTCTTCTGCCCCTATTTTCTCTTACTTCTTGTTCCAATTAGTTTCTCTTCACCTATCTTCCCACTTAACTTTTAATTTTTTTGCATCATTGTGGATATATTACTTCGCTCTCTTCGTATGACTACGTGTATGAGTCAAGGCCTAAACGGTGTCAGCTCGAATACTCGGTGTAATCTAAAGTTATCGAATTTCCCATATGAAACTATATATTTTCCATACGTATAGATGGCTCCTTGCAGATAACTCACTAACATTTTGGACTGGTTACTACATGTAGATGGCACATGCACCAGCCGTGTAGCACACCTTGTCAATCCCACTGTATGGCTATGCATGCTGACCATGTGACAGGGCCAGTGAGACTAATAATATTGCAAACCAATGTCATTTCTTGTGGGACTACTTCATCTGACATGGGACTTCTATCGTGTCGCCGTCTGAGACTAACTACTGCTGCAGTTGGATTAGATATTCCTTTCCATATGCTTGACAAGTTGAAAGAGACGAGTCTGCTCGGACGCTTTGCAAAATGAGCCGCTTCCAAAGAAAACGCTTATCGACTGTCAAGTAGTCGAAGGGGAGGCGTAACTTTGACGGCTTACATTTGGAAGCAGGCGCAGGCGCAGGCGCAAGTACTCTTCAAACCTCGTGTCAAATGAGGCTTAACAGGTTAACCTCTTCTCAAATCATCTGTACTTACGTGTCCTGAGACCAAATATGGGCTGTATTTCCTTTTACAGCCACTGTCGGTTCCCTAGATATTGTGTACGAGTACGAGTGCTTCTGCCTAGCTACTCAAGAGCCTTGTGATAGCCTTTTCTTGAAGTGAGTTCGTCCAGTATCATTGCCACCCACTGCACTGCCCTTCCATCATCAAGCTGGTTATGTTTCTTGCCTCCTGGGTCATATGGGAGCTCATGAGCCTCCAGTTATAGTATGAACCGCACCGCCACATCTTAAAGCACCGCCACAAATACGCCACATGGAGATCCGTCATCCCTGTCCTCCACGCCTCCTTTCACCCGGAAACTCCATCATCAAGGTACGACAAAGTACTCTGTACAGCTTAGTGGCTTGCCAAATCAAGTCATTTCTGTCGTGTGCCTTGATAGGTTCTGACAGCGGTGCCGCGTGCTCATGATGCGTACATTCTAGCCGCTCATTAAGTGGACACCTCATCCTCAACAGCCTAGAACACACACGATCAAGCCCCATGATGCAAAGAGATTCGTCTTTGCCTCCTTACTTGCGCCCATGGTCAAACAATGCCAATACAGATACAATAAGTCAAGGTGAAAATACACCCCAATGATTGGGTCATCTGCGAGGCGCAGCAGTTGACCTAATCCACAATGACAAACCCCAATTTGATCGTAACGCCCTCGCATTGGACACCTGAACTTGGCGTAACGCTATTCGACAACCGCTGATCTCAGAATTTAGCTATGCATGTACTGTAGCTATAGACAAGAAAACGGGGCTAAAGTTAGAGAAAAAGAAACCCGGCGCTTACATTCCTCAGCTTTTGAGGGTATGTCTATGGGGGTTTCACCTTCAATAGCATGATGCTCCTACACCACACACGGAGGTCCGTAGGTGTTCCCCCCGTTACTAACCCAAAGATTGCCGCTTGCAACCTTGGAAAGGGGGCTGTGTTTTGTTCCCGGGGTAATAAGTGGCACATCCTCTCACATCCTGGCACCACTTGGACGGTATATTTTACTTTTTTTGATCGCTCCGATTTTCTCAAGTGGAGATAATAAATTCCTCTTATACTTGGCAGTATTTGCTAAAACCTTCGTTGCGAATTGCCAGAAAAAACTGACTAAATCCTCGGCATATCTGGGCATCTTGGGAAGTACACAGCCCCATTGAGAGGGGGAAAAAAAGATAACAAGGTCTCGCAACCCCAGCACACGAGACAATCTTTCGATATCAGAGCCTATTACATGAACCTCTGCATGAGCTGCTTTTAATTTTGATTCGCATAATCTTTTCGGAGCTCCGTGCGATCTGCATTCTATGTCTTCAAACAATGACTCCTCCCATCAGGGCTCACTATTGAGTCCTGTTATAGTGACGGATTTTTCGGGCAGAGAGGTTGGTCACCCAAGCCATCCTATACACGCCTGAACTCTTTCGCTGATCATTCCATTTTCCTTTTTTTTTTCTCATGCAGCGATCTATATCCACAGCCTCTTCCGCGTGGTCAGGTCCTACAGATCTAAACCACAGCCCGACTTCACCTGTCTCACCAGATATGGCGTGGAATCCAGACCCAGCCCGTCTGATGGTCCACAATGCCTCGCATCGACCGTCGCAGTCGATCGATGGCGATACATTGCGTCCGCGGGCGGACTCATTTGCTTCTTCTGCAGATACTATGGTTCGCTCGCGGGCGAACTCAGAAGTAGACCCGGCCCATACTTCCAAAGATGTATATGACGATGTTTCGCTGGCGGATGCGTTGAAACCAGATCCCCGGAATGAAACTGATTTCCAAGTGGAGGATAATCAGTTTGCGTTTTCTCCGGGTCAGCTAAACAAAATGCAGAACCCGAAGTCCTTGGCTGCATTCCATGCTCTTGGTGGATTGCAGGGTCTGGAGCGCGGTCTGCGCACAGATCTAACTGCCGGGTTGTCAATAGACGAAGGGTGTCTGGAGGGCAAGGTCGAGTTCCAGGATGTGGCACCTTCGGCACAAGACACATGTACTGGAAAATCTCCATCAAACCCTGTCACTTCAGTGCCGGCGCCGGTGTCGTCTGGCAATGGCTCACCCTTCGAAGACCGCATTCGTGTCTTCAGTCGGAACAGACTACCCGCTCGGAACTCGACCGGATTCCTGAAACTATTTTGGGCTGCTTATAACGACAAAATCATTATATTATTGACTATCGCTGCCGTGGTTTCACTGTCCCTGGGGATATACGAGACCGTGTCGGAAGGCTCAGGCGTCGACTGGGTGGAAGGTGTCGCCATCTGCGTGGCAATTTTGATTGTCACAGTGGTCACAGCTGCGAACGATTGGCAAAAAGAGAGACAATTTGCCAAACTCAACAAAAGGGTAAGTCTTCCCCCTACCAATCCAGAGAGTCAACACAGCTAACATCCCAACAGAACGATGACCGTGAAGTCAAAGTCACCCGCTCAGGCAAAATTGACATGGTTTCAATCTACGATATTATGGTCGGCGACATCCTCCATCTCGAGGCAGGCAATTCCATCCCCGCGGATGGCGTTCTAGTTTCAGGCTACGGCGTGAAGTGCGACGAGTCCTCCGCTACCGGCGAGTCTGATCAAATGAAAAAGACACCCGGCCATGAAGTCTGGCAGCAAATTGTCGGCGGCAAGGCAACCAAGAAGCTCGACCCGTTCCTGATCTCTGGTAGCAAGGTCCTCGAAGGTGTAGGAACTTATGTTGTCACCAGTGTTGGGCCTTATTCTACCTACGGACGGATCTTGTTGTCGCTGCAGACTCCTAATGACCCAACGCCGCTTCAGGTCAAGCTGGGTAAGCTGGCGGATTGGATTGGATATCTGGGTACAGCGTGAGTTTACCTTCCTTACTTCCTGCTCTTGTGATAGGTTACTGATGATAATTTACAGAGCTGCTGGTATCTTGTTCTTCGTTCTGCTCTTCCGATTTGTAGCCGACCTTCCTAATCACCCGGAAAAGAACGGTGCTGCGAAAGGTAAAGAGTTTGTGGATATTCTTATTGTTGCTGTCACGGTTATTGTAGTCGCTATTCCAGGTAAGTGCTGATATTTCGCTGGAATTATTCAAACTATACTAACATCCATGTTCTTCGCTAGAGGGCCTTCCATTAGCAGTAACGCTGGCTTTGGCCTTTGCTACTACCAGAATGGTTAAAGAGAACAATCTCGTCCGTGTCCTTCGCGCTTGCGAGACAATGGGAAATGCCACCGTCATTTGCTCTGATAAAACTGGTACATTGACACAGAACAAAATGACTGTGGTAGCCGGAACCTGGGGCTCGGATCAGGACTTCAGTCAGAGAACTGAAGACGCAGGTGTGGAGGGTTCAATGACTACTTCCGAGGCTTCCCAGAAATTGTCAGCTCCTATCAAGAATCTGATCATCAAGAGCATCGCTTTGAACTCGACCGCCTTTGAACAGGAAAAAGACGGCTCCGTTGATTTTGTCGGTAGCAAGACTGAGGTTGCGATGCTTCAGTTGGCCCGGGATTACATGGGCATGGACCTTGTCTCGGAGCGTGGCTCCGCTGAGATTGTCCAATTGATTCCTTTCGACTCCGCCAGGAAGTGCATGGGTGTTGTTTACCGTGTTCCTGGTGTTGGCTACCGACTGCTTGTCAAGGGAGCGTCCGAGTTGATGGTCGGCGTCTGTACCACGGAAATTGTCAACATTGATATGTCCAAAGAGAGACCCGACGTGGAGCAGCTTTCCGAGGCACAGAAGAAGAATCTCCTAGTGATTATTGACAATTATGCTCACAAGTCTCTTCGGACGATTGGCATGGTCTACAAGGATTTCGCAACCTGGCCCCCGACGCAAGCCAAACATTCTGAAGACGATACGGCTAACTTTGAGGATTTCTTCCATGATATGACCTGGGTCGGAGTTGTGGGTATCCAAGACCCTCTTCGCCCCGAAGTCCCGTCAGCTATTCGTAAATGCCACTCAGCAGGCGTCCAGGTCAAGATGGTGACTGGTGACAACGTTGCTACTGCCACCGCTATTGCAACTTCTTGTGGAATTAAG